GGACAAACAGGAATGACATAATAAGTTCTAATTCTGGTAGCTTCTTCCTAGCAAATTTAACTTACGTCATGTATGATTCATCTGTTGTGATCATTGAAATGAGTAGAGTCCCTGTTTAACTGAATTTAGCTCTCACTTCAGCTATGAGTTGATGACAACATAAATTCACGTTTGTGGTTCAACGATGTCAGAGTGAATGTCTTTAACTACTGATTGTTCTTCTTGTTTGTCATTAAAAAACCAAAGAATCATTGATTATGTTGCCGTAACTTGTTTCAGATCTGGAAGGCAAAGGAATGTCTGAATTTATTTCCAAGTAGCAGAAATGTTAAAGCTGAGGCTGATATTATTGATGCACTTACTGTTAAACTTCCAAACCTTGGAGTGACTCTTCTACCTATGCAATTCAGGCAAATAAAAGATCCAATGGAGATTATTAAAATGGCAATCACAAGTCAAGCTGGAGCTTATCTACATGTTGATGAACTAATTGAGGTTGCCAAACTTCTTGGATTGAGCTCTTTGGAAGAAATCTCAGCTGTTGAGGAAGCTATTGCTAGAGAAGCTGCAGTTGCTGGTGATCTGCAGTTGGCCTTTGATCTCTGCCTTGTTCTGGCCAAAAAGGGTCATGGTCTTATTTGGGATTTATGTGCTGCAATAGCAAGGGGTCCTTCTCTTGAGAATATGGATATAAGTTCTCGAAAACAGCTACTGGGTTTTGCTTTGAGCCATTGTGATGAGGAATCAATTGGTGAGCTGCTCCATGCATGGAAAGATTTAGACATGCAAGGCCAGTGTGAGATTTTGATGACGCTGACGGGGACAAACTCTCCGAATTTCTCAGTTCAAGGTTCATCGGTTATTTCACTTCCAGGCTACAGTATTCAAGATATAGTTGACTTGAAAAATTCATCTGAACTGGTTGAAGGGTTTAACAGTGTTGATCAAGAAATTCATTTCAATAGTATTAAAAATACACTTTCTCTTGTCGCCAACAACCTGCCTGTCGAGAATGGGGCTAATTGGGAGCTGCTTTTGCAAGGAAATGGAAAGATTTTAACTTTTGCTGCTATACAACTTCCATGGTTGCTTGAATTAACTAGAAAAGCGGAGCACAGTAAGAACTTTACTTCTGGCTTGATTCCTGGAAAGCAATATGTTAGTGTAAGAACACAAGCTGTGATAACTATTTTGTCCTGGTTGGCAAGGAATGGTTTTGCTCCCAGAGACGATCTGATTGCTTCTCTGGCAAAATCAATTATAGAACCACCAGTTACCGAAGAGGAAGATGTCATCGGTTGCTCCTTCCTGTTAAATCTTGTGGATGCCTTTAGTGGAGTAGAAGTAATTGAAGAGCAGCTAAGAACCAGGGAAAACTACCGAGAAACTTGTAGTATCATGAATGTGGGAATGACCTATAGCATATTACATAATAGTGGAGTTGATTGTGAAGGTCCTTCTCAGAGGAGGGAGCTGCTCCTCAGGAAGTTTAAAGAGAGGAATAAGCCACTTAATTCTGGTAGCAGACTTTAGTCCTCTAGTTGCCTGCTTAAATTAAGACTGCATAATTTTGCTCACGCTATCCTACATGTGCTTCCATGAGATGATGTGCTTATTTTTTCTCCTTTTACTTGTTTCCAGATGACATAAACAAGATCGATGAAGTACACTCCTCATTTTGGAGGGATTGGAAACTGAAATTAGAAGAGAAAAAGCGTGTAGCAGATCATTCTAGATTGTTAGAGCAAATAATTCCTGGGGTTGAAACTGCAAGCTTTTTGTCTGGTGATGTCAGCTACATTGAGAGAGTTGTTTTTACTCTAATTGAATCTTTAAAATTGGAGAAGAAGCACATTTTGAAGGATTTGTTGAAATTGACCAATACCTATGGCTTGAACCGAGCTGAGGTACATGGGCATGCATGTATATTTTTCTCAACTTATAATGGTAGATTATAATGTCAAACCCTTTTAAGCCTTTAAATGACACTTATGTTTTTGACTTTTGCAGGTAATACTTCGGTACTTAACTTCAATCCTTGTTTCTGAGATTTGGACCAATGATGATATCATGGCTGAGATCTCAGAAATTAAAGGAGAAATACTTGATTATGCTGCTGAAACTATCAAAACCATATCCTTGATCGTATACCCTGCAGTTGATGGTTGCAATAAGCAGCGCCTTGCTTACATATATAGCCTCCTCTCTGACTGCTATAAGCAGTTAGAGCAAAGGAAAGAACCTTTACCAATCATACTCGTAGATCAGCCACATACATTTGTTATTGGGTTATCTCATTATTACAAGGTTATTGAGGAAGAATGTAGAAGAATTTCCTTTGTTAAGGACCTAAACTTCAAAAATATTACAGGATTAGGTGGTTTGAATCTGCAGTCTTTCAGTAGTGAAGTCTATGCTCACACTGATGAATTTAGCTTAGAAGGTTTGTCTAAAATGGTAATGACTTTGGTCAGCATCTATAGTGATCCAGTACCTGAGTGTCTCATATCATGGCAGGATGTCCACAAACATTATGTTCTGCGTTTATTGACAACTTTGAAGGATAGAGTTAGAACAGAGTTTAGCACTAACAACCCTGAAAACTTTCAGAATATAACCAGTGACCTTGAGCAGATCTATGACTTGTCTGGAAAGCATATCAAACTCTTGGAACCTTCACAGGCATTGGACATTACGAAGCAATATTTCAGTGTAATCATACCTCCACATGGTGCTTATGAGAATATGCCTGATAACTCAACATGGCAGGACTGCCTCATCTTCCTTTTGAATTTCTGGATCAGATTGACTGAAGACATGCAAGAATTTACTTCCAGTGAGATTTCAGTAGAAAAAACCAGGTTCCACCCAAATTGCTTAATGAGTTGTTTAAAGGTTCTCATGAGGTTGGTGATGGAGGACTCTGTTTCTCCTAGTCAGGGCTGGAGCACCATTATTGGGTACATCAACCATGGTTTAAATGGTGACCTTTCTGCTGTTATTTTCATTTTCTGCAGAGCCATGATATTTTCTGGTTGTGGTTTTGGAGCCATATCAGAAGTATTTGTTGAAGCACTACAACATCATGCAACCACTCCAAATGCACCTGCTGACACCGAGTTTCAGGATCTTCCCCATCTCTATTTAAAAGTACTAGAACCAATTTTACAAGATTTGGCTAGTGGACCTCAGGAACACCAAAAATTGTATCTGTTGGTGTTGTCATTGAGCAATTTGGAAGGTGATTTGGAGGAGTTGAAGAAAGTCAGGTGTGCAGTTTGGGAAAGAATTGGCAGATTCTCTGAAGATTTGCAGCTTGCTAGTCATGTTCGAGTTTATGCCCTAGAGCTTATGCAATTTATCACAGGTAATACCATGAAGGGTTTATCTTCTGAGCTGCAGCTAAATGTTCACCCATGGGTAGGGTGGGACGATTCACTCTGTGGAAGTAACAAGACTCAGAGCACTACCAATGAAGGGTTGCGTGAGCAAACAGATACTTCCAGCAGGTTTACAAGTACTTTAGTTGCACTCAAATCATCTCAGCTTATGGCAGCCATCTCTCCTGGCATTGAAATTACCTCTGATGACCTCTTGAATGTTGAGACAGCAGTTTCTTGCTTCTTGAAATTGTGTGAAGTTGCCAACGCAGCTTCTCATTACAATGTTTTGATAACCATTTTGGAAGAGTGGGAAGGGCTTTTTGTGATTAAGACAGAAGAGGTAGCCTCTGCAGCATTTTCTGATGCAGAAAATAACTGGAGCAATGATGATTGGGATGAGGGATGGGAGAGCTTTCAGGAAATAGAACCTTCGGAGAAAGAAAAGAAAGAAGACTTACTTTTGGTTCATCCTTTACATGAGTGTTGGACAGAGATTTTAAAGAGCCTTGTTAAAGCATCCCAATTTAGAGATGTGTTAAAACTGATTGACCAGTCCACTGCAAAATCTGGTGGAGTATTGCTTGATGAAGGTGGCGCAAGGAGCTTGAATGACAGTGTACTTGGAGTGGATTGTTTCATGGCTTTAAAGATGATGCTTTTATTGCCTTACGAAGGTTTGCAGTTGGAGTCTCTGAGTGCACTTGAAAACATGTTGAAACAAGAAGGTACCTCTAACATGATTGGCAGCGACCATGAGCTCTTAATGCTAGTCCTGTCCTCAGGGATTCTATCAACTGTTATCAACAAATCTTCTTATGGCACTGTTTTCTCTTATGTCTGCTATTTAGTAGGCAACTTCTCTCGCCAGTTCCAAGAAGCCCAATTGTCAAAGCTTGGAAAGAAAAGAAGCAATGAACGTGGAAACAATGAGGAAGACACCTTATTTCTATTCGCAAGAATCTCGTTCCCCATGTTCATATCAGAGCTTGTCAAGTCAGAGCAGCAGGTGCTAGCAGGATTTCTTGTTACAAAATTCATGCACACAAATGTTTCTCTCGGCCTCATCAACATTGCAGAGGCCAGTCTTAGAAGATACTTGGAAAGGCAACTCCAGGTACTAGAACACGACAAATTTGCCCCTGAGGAAATGGGTTCTTGTGAAACGTTAAAGAACACAGTTTCAAGCTTGAGAGGCAAGCTGGGGAATTCGCTTCAGTCTGCCTTGTCATTACTTCCTAGGAATGAAAGCAGTAGTAGATAAGAAAAGCTTTGCTGAGGGAGAGCTGTCAAAAATTAAAAGAAGACAATTGTGTTACAGATTGCAGAATCATGTTGTGTAAACCGGCAAGACTGTCCTAAAAGTTTGGAGGGAAAATTTTTTTATTTCTTCCATTTCCTTCTGGAAATATTTCCCCATTCGAAACAAATGAGCTTTTGTATACCAGACATTCTGTATATGTTTTCGATTAGTACACAATCTTTACATAGTCTCAGAGATCCAAACATGAGCGAAGTTGTTTTAATAGTAGTGTTAGCGTCATGGAGGATCTAGTTTTTGGATCAACAGATTCAAAGCCAGGCTGGTCATGGTCCGCTTCAGATCTGAAAGAAAACTCTTTCAGTTAATTATTTCTTTCGTGTTTTGGGTGATCAGTTAGACGACAGATCTGGTCCATCTGGACTTACGTAACTTGCACATGGCTGTAACCACGATGGGAGTCGGAAAGTCATAAGTAAAAACTCTACTCAATCTCAAAGTAAGAGAGGCCAAATTTTTGGCTGGCGTGGATGATGACATGTTTGACACCCATGAAAAAGGACAATTTTTCACCGACGGAACCGAGTTGGCAAAATTTTTTCTCGAGAAAATTGGTTTCAATTTTCGCGGTAAAACATTAACTCTGGGCTAGTTCGAACTGCAGTTTGTCAAAGTCAAAACATTTTAATATTCCCTCAGCGTGCGGACATATCATACTCGCCATCTTAGGGAGCACGTGTTCTGAATCCTCCAAAGTGGCATGTCGCCTCCAGCGAGTATCATTAACTTTATCAGTCGAGAGAGTTGAGATGGTTCCGAGGTGTTTCACCGAACTTGATTTTCAGCCATAAAAGCAGAGGCAACAGGAGCGGTTGCCACATAAAAAAGGTTGCGTTTCCGGCTTTCTCCCTTGTCCCTACACAGAGTATTGCTGTCTTTGCTTTGGATGCTTCAGAATTAGAGTTCGAGAAACCTTTTACGACGAAAGAGAAAAATGGAGAGATTGCCTGGTGACATCTGTCTCAAGATTTTCTGTTTCTTGGATCATCAGAATCTTGCAACTGCTCAACAAGGTTAGCAACACCGAAAATTTATTCTCTTTTTTGGGTCGGATTGCTACCATATTTGATGTATTTATCTTGAATGGTCGAATTGTAGATGAGATCTTTGCTTGCTTTCTTGAATTTGTGTTGAATTGTACCCCTTTTATTCTTATTTGTTGTATAGTGTTTCAGTCTTCTTGTTTCATCAGTCATTGTGGGAATTATCGCTTTGATGGCTTCAGTTATTGATTTTCTTTCTTCTTCTAATTCTCAATTTCATTTCTAAAGGTATTATATCTATGGAAAACTTGAATTCTACCGTTCTTTCCATTTATTTCCTGAATTCTGGATCAACTGGCACGATTTCTGGTTTATTGTTGTTAAATCCATATTGAATTTATTGTCTTTCTTCGGCAATTTAGACAAGATATATTATAAACTCGCTGCTTAATGCATCCGCATACTGAAAATTCAACTATGAATAATATGTACAAGAAAGAAGCTAGGAAGGCATGCCAATGAACGTTGCAATTTGGTATGAAAAAGTTTGCAGGAAGTGGAAGGTCTTGGCCTCACACAACATGCTGTGGTCTAAGCTATTCAGACAGAGATGGGGAATTGATCAAGCTGCGTTCTATGCCCCTAATCCTATAGATGCAAGATCATGGAAAGATGTGTACGAGACACAAGACCGATGTGATCGAGTTGGGATGTAAGTTATAAGCTTTAATCAACAATATGATTCTTTTTTTTGTAATATTTTTGCAATGATGGTTGCCCCAAACATGGCGTGATAATCTGAGAAATGTGTTGTATCTATATGTTTGTAGAGGGCTGAAGATAATCAGAGAAGGTGGTGACTACTTTCTTGTACATCAAGGTGAAATCCAACGGTACTTGGGTTCAAGGAGAAAAAGGAGAGGGGTGAAAGATAGTCCTTCGAGTTCAACAACAGAGTTGGGGGTGGAAGACGCTATGAAGGTGGAGGAACCCAGTCGAGGGATTCTTGACAAAATCCTGTTTTTCCTAGGGGACTTGGAAGCAGCTTCTGCAGATGCCAAACGTGGAAGGTTGCTGCTGTGACCATCTTCAAGGCGTCGAAGGCAAATAGTTTGAACTTCAAGTTTCAATTTTTTTGTTTTTTGTATATACATGTAGCATTACAAATAACAATTATTGGATAATGTTATTGCATGTATAGCTATTGTAATGGAAGCGTCTCTTGTTTCATCATTCTTGTTTCTTTTATCGAGCAGATACTTATTTCAGTCAATATGACAATCAAATTGTTGCTCTTAACATCATTCATTTCATTTTGATCAACCATCCAAGTAACAAAAACTGGGTGACAGATCCCATACGATATGATGCTCAGGCAAGAAGTTGGTGCAATTTCACTAAACCAGAAACATTAGAGGAAATGTAATACAAATGATAGAGCAGTTTAGAAAAGAATGATATCAGAGTTACGAAGATGGATATTTGCTTTCCTACTTTAGCAGGCAAAAGCATTAACTACCTTGCTGATCTTCTGACAGCCCAAAACAATCATGAAAACTCAAGTGACCCATAACCCACATCTTTTTCCATTTTTTAATGGGCAGACCACTATTTTCTTATACACTGTAACCTCTACTATAAAATCAAAATACAACCATCCATCGAGTAGGAACTGGAACAGTATAAGGAATGAATTACGTTGTTGTTATCAACCAGGTAAGAATCCTTGGTGGCCTGTAAAGCCCAACACACTCAATCATTTAGTGGCTCCGCTTCAGGGTCCCTTTCCTTCATTGCCGTCCAATTTTCCACCTCTGGACGAAAAACAACAAAAAGTTCAGAACCTGATATGCATAGAGAACGCCAGGAAAATAAAAAACGTTTGGGTTCAATGCGGGCTGTAAAAAATTTATAAACTAGGCTGTGGACGATTGTGGCTAATGTTGACTGAAAGAGCAAAATCGGAAATATAATGTTATACATACTTGGCTTGTCTGAAATTGCCATCAGCCGTCTTTGTAAGATAGATGCCACGAAGAGGAAAATTGAGCACATACCAAACATAACAGTGATGGGAAACGCATCAACCTTCAGAGGCAAAACCGATACAGCAAGTAAGTAACATAGTTAAAGCCTAAAGAATCAGCCAGCATTTTATGTACTTGTCTATGGCATAATCAAATGAAACTATTATAGCAAAGCCTATAACATACATTGTACAGCACGATGCAGACAAAGATATTAAGAGGAATGCGGAAGAAGTTCATAATGGTGCTCCTAGCCTCCTCTGGGATGTACTGAGATCTCATTTTCATAATGGATGGCCAGAATATCCCTACACAAGCCTCAAAGGTACAGAAGCCAAGAAGCTGGATACAACCTGAAAATGAGATGCTTCGGCCCTTCACTTTGGAAGGAGCTACCAAGAACTGTTGCAAATTTATCCAGTTAGGAATCACTTACAGAATAATCCAGAGAAAGAGAGAGATAGAGAGATGTTGGAACATACATTGGTTATAATAGGAAGCAGGAGAGAGGCAGAGGAAATCACAAAAACAATCTGCATGTAGCTTTCTACCCTAGGTGATGAGCGGGCCATCAATCGAGATGCAAGGGAGCTTCCCAACATTGAAGACAACATGAATGTGGCAAAAATAAAGCCATGAGGAATCTCCTCATCATTGGGGCTCAAAGCAGGAGTCCAAAGAAACACAAAGGTGTACATTGAACCTTCAAACAGAGACTGGATGGCACCGAGCAAAGCAATTTTTTCATCTGAATTGCACAGAAGATTAGAACAAGGAGGGGAATAAAATGACAACTAAGGAAAGAATCAATGCATTGATGGAGGATGACTAACAAACAAGTAACAAGGTGTCAAGAGACAATGCTCAGCCAGCAACACGTGACCTGATTAATGCATTGAGTTTAAGGTAAAATATGAACTTTACCAGAAGCTATTGCTACAGCAGCACCCCTGAACTGGGTAAGAAGGTCCTTGCTTTCTGAGGTGTCTCCAAAATTTTCAGTCCACGATGCTAATATGATAGCCATCCCAATAGCAAGAAAGCATGCAGCAGCATCAAAAGGAGCCACAGGTCCAAGGGACAATGAATCAACAAGTAGGTTCCCAAACAACCCAGACAGAATGGCAACAAGACCATTGCCAAGAAATATTGCCTTTGAAAATGTTAGTGACAACCATTGTTGCTCGAAGCCCCTCTGCAAAGAATAGAAGCAGAAACAGACGCGTCAAAACAAGATCAAATTCATAGAAGATATCACATCAGTTACTGATAGTCTCATGGTTGCGGCAGACAAAGCTTACAGAAGAATGAGGCTAAGCAGAACCAGATGATTCATGCTTTAACACCTTTTGAAAACAATAATGGAAAATTAAGTAAACAAAGCTAGCATATTCCGAAGCATCATGTGCAACATGATAGTGTAAACTAAATACTTTAACATTTTTATTTTTTCCCAAGTAGGGCAGGGTGTGAAACACCCTAACAGGGAGCAACATACAACATCTAGAATACTAAAAATAAGAGCAAAGGGCATGGAAGCAATGCCTCACCTTATTATGTTCAGCAACAAGCCATGACTCAAATGCTGAAAACAGAAGAGAGGTGGCGATACCCCCCAAAACACGGCCTATCATCAAAACTTTGTATTGAGGAGAATGCTTGGTGATGCAGCTAAGCATGTAAGTGATGCAGTAAGTAACACATGCCCTCCTGCGGCCCCTGAAGTAAACACATGAAGGTATATTTGTATTAAAACAAGATATTTCATCCATAAAGTATGAAAAGATCACAACAGAAGCCAAAGTAAAAACTTACTGTTTGTCAGCTAGTGAACCGACAATCGTCCCAAACAACATAGAGGATCCAAAACCAGCAATAAAAAGCTGTCCAATGTCCCCTTTTCCAAAGCCATATGTACTGTAAAGATAGTAAACATATGGACCCTGCAGCCAGTCTCCAGCTATTGCCACATAAACAACCATTTATCAAAACAGCAAACTAGAAATATGGGCAATAACCACAACATAAGAAGGTTATCTTTCACAATTACCAGAACAGATTATCCACAGATAAGATCATACCTCCAAAACTAGTTAGATTCAGAAGGTAACTAAATAGGGTTTTTTGTTTGTTTAAGAAAAAAAGGATCTCCAACCATAAGTAGCAATATGTTTATGTAGCATTTGAATAAAATCACGCATTTCAATAAGTTAATGCAACCTTGTTTTGCTTTCAGCTTGTTTTACTAACTAAGAAGAAACATCTTAACCGAGGTGGCCAAGCAGACGTACTAAATTCAGCAAGAGTTAGGCCTTCTACTCTAGGCTCCACGAACAGTGGACAGCTTGATTCTCAAAGTTTTAAGTTTTTTCCTTATCCAAACCATCATCAACCAGATAGGATCATAAAATCAAGTATCTCCAACCCACTCAAACCTCAGATCCAATGTCTCAACCACAAAACAGAAAAGGACCAAAAATCCATATATCACTTCTTGAAAGTCATTTTCTTATACTCTTCCTTTTCTTTTACAAGCTAAAACAAATGCATGTTTCCGGCTTTCCATTTTTTTTTTAGATGAGCCCGTTTTCCATTTTCATAGCAAAGAAAACAGTACTTTTCAAAGAAACCATTAACAACAAAAACATTATCCAAAACATAAAAAAAATCACAACAACACCGCACCCACACTTTAAAAATGCAAATCTAGAAAATGGGCATCTGGATTCACAAATAAAATCAACACCATTAGATCAGATCCATGTTTATGTAAATAAAAGTGAGATCTTGAGGATAGAAATGGAAATCAGATCTGGGTAAAATTAAAATAAGGACGTTAATTACCCATCATGAGAGAGTAAACAACAAGGTAATTGTTCTTGAAGGAATTGAAAGCAGGGGATGTGTTGATTCGATCCTTGCTTGTCTTGCTCAGCTCTAATGCTGCCACCACCGCTCCCAATGCCCCAAACACCAGGAAGTAGAACAGCTCCATTGCTGCTGCCTACTACTCACCCACAAATATTCTCCTCCTATTTCTGGGATGGACGGAGATTGATATGATAAAACTGTGAAGCAAAGCCAATGTGTACCCTGCACGGTGGGATTCTTTTATAGTGCTTTAGTTAAATCTAGCAGAAAAGAGAGATAGATATAGACATGGAGATTGGGTTTTTATTCCCTGGAAAAACCTCTGTTTCAGTGCAATTTTGGACGCGTGATTTTAATAGTTGTACATTTGATTTAATTAAAAGAAAATATGGGTTGGATTGCAAGAGGTACAATGGATGAAGCGTGGAGGGTGTGGGAGCAATGGTGGGGACGAGGAACAGAGGATGAAAACCAAGAGGTACGCGGCTTTACAATGGGTCATTTGAGTGGCCTTTTTGTGTAGACTCGAAACGTGGCGGGATCTGGGTTGTCCGTATAAGCAGTATAAGGCGGAGGTGTCGGTGGTTCAGATGGCGAGGCATTTTTTTCCCTTGCTCATTAGCCCTCTTCCCCCAAATGACTGGCCCACGCCTTGCAGACTGTAAACTGGATCAAGGGAAGTGGGGTAGGGCCCTTTTTCTTATCAAAACGCGTGTGCGCCGTTGGATCACCTTGTGGGGCTTCACTGCCGAAGAATTTAATTTCATAATGATGATGGCATGGTTGGTGCTGCCACCTGATCTTATAGTGGGAGTTGGTTTTGGAAAATTATCAAGATTGAAATCAAAGAATTTCTAGGTTCCGCTATGGCCTGAGGTAATACTCCTATTGATTTGCCAGTTTCAAATGTTTTCTTTTTCCTGTGTACTTCCTTGATGGAAAGTTAGGCGTGTGCTGTTCTTTTGCAATCAATGGATTGAAGAAAGAAGGAAATTGAGATCGCCTGTGTGGACGGGTTGTGCTTTTCGGGTGAAAAACCACTCTATTAATTGCCATCCATAAACCATCACGTACGACAATTGAGATTTAGTAAAAGGGTAGACACCTACTAAGTACTAAAAGTGGCAATGGTCAGGATTTTTATAATTATGAGGCATGTGACGTTCAAATCCAAGATAGGATACAAGTTCTCGACCTAAACTAGGCTCGGAATTGGGGAGGGGAGGCACTCATTTTTCTAACCCATAGCCTTGGTCGCAGTCCAAGGGCTTCGGTTATTCTAATTTACATGCAAATCAAGATGAAATGGAGGACTCATGATTTACAAAGGTCCCATCTAACTTGACTTGAAAACCCAAAGGGGAAAGCAAAGGCCAGTGGGAGTTGCTGCCAACCATTTCTCCATGGGCAAGAGTAGCCTCCAAAACACAACCATTGATTGGGAGGCTCTAGGAATGGTGAGGTTTTGGGTGATTAACGAAATGTAACAGGGTAGTAAACGGGATTAATCCCAAGCCAGCTTGGAATGTGGATGAGAGAAATCCAAGTGGGGCAAACCCCTTAAAACATGAACCACAAAGCTAGATTTTTTCAAGAGATATAATGGCCCACTTCTAAGAGAAGCATCCAAACATCTCTTGACATAACATAAAAATGACAAAAAAATAAATGCAGTTCAAGCAGCACTTATCAATCGCCTAACTCTTCCAGCAAACCTAAATGCTTTGAAGTTCTACAACTGATTTGTTTCAGTTTGTAGGATTCAGGAAAATGGCAGCACTTACTTCAGTCACTCCGCACTCAACTTCATCGTCTTCATTATATTCTAATTTCCGGAGGCCCCAATTGACTACCTCTTCGATTATTGCTCCGGGCTGTTCCTGCTTTCTGACAGCAACATCAGGTAAAGCATTAAGGCAAAGATTGACTTACCAAAATCGCCGGGGCCTGATTATCCGAAGTGCAGCAACAAAGCCTGCAAAATCACCAGGTACTAGTGTTCTGACAGAACCTTTATGATAAGATCAATATATAGACCCTCAAGGATTGATACTCAACAATTTAACTACCCTGACTTAAATTTCCTTTATCTTCTTTTGGAGGGATTAGCTGAAGAAGATTGGAAGATTAAGAGAGAAGTTCTCTTGGAGAACAAGGTACTGATCCCTCCCCCACTCTTTCTACGCACACACGTTTTGACGTGTGCTCACATACACAAACTTGAAATTATTGAAAAACTTAAATCGTTACCTGTTGTTTTAGGACTGAAAGCAAAAACAAATTGATGTTTAAACAGCAGATGTCTATTGACATGCATATGAACAACCCGTTACTCTTAAAAGTAGCTCCCCAACGTTTAAGAAAAATATGTATATTCTGCTTGCTTAGAAAGAAGACGGAAGTGTAAAGTGGGCAAGTAGTAAAGCCCATCCATGATCATGAAAGGAGAAGAAGATGAATAACAGAATGAGAATGTCAACAGTGTAACAGGTGAACTGGCAGGATAACAACGCAAGCATGAGAAGATATCCAATTCCTAGTTTGTTCCATTAGATACTAACAACAGAAACATTTCTTCGTTGCAGGTAAGAGGTGTGGATGCAAAGGAAGCTTTTCGCCTTCAAAAAGAGAATAACTTCGTGATTCTTGATGTACGACCTGAAGCGGAATTTAAAGAGGTTAGCCAACTCAAAAAAACTTTGATAAGCAACCAGAACTACAGATAATCATTCACGAAAGGGATTTCACTACAGAATTTCTAACTTCTATGATGGTAAGAACAGGCCAGTAAAGTGCTGCTAAGTTTGATGCTTTTTGATGCAGGCTCATCCGCCAGGTGCTATTAACGTTCAGATATATAGACTTATAAAGGAGTGGACAGCGTGGGATATTGCTAGGCGCGCTGCATTTGCATTGTTTGGCATCTTTTCTGGCACAGAAGAGAACCCTGAGTTTATGCAAAGTAGAATTATGTTACCCCATATTTCTTCTATTTTCCACCACCATTTCCTACTTAGCAGATAGTGAAGGAACTGAGTATTTGGTATTTGAGCAGGTGTAGAATCAAAATTTGACAAGGACGCAAAGATAATAGTGGCCTGCACATCTGGCGGTACAGTGAAGCCAACCCAAAATCTCCCGGAAGGTCAACAGTCAAGGTATTTACGTCTGACTTTATACAGTGAAAAGACATTAATTATAGAGCTATAGGATGCATCATAGAAAGTAAACAAGCTATATTCCATCTTTAAAATTCCCAAGGGTCTAAACTGCCAAATAAAATGTGTAGTTCAGGCTCAGAGTGCCAATGCAAACAAAAGTGATCACTTTTATTGGTTCTAGTTTCAGATAATGGTCACCACATTCACTTTACTAGAAAGCAAATACACAATTCCATTCAGAGTAAACCCATGAATATTCGTTCTTGTTAATGTATTTCAAAGCTGACAGCTAGGTGCTTTGTTTAGATGAGACACATAGAGAGGTTAAAACTGGTAACTAATAAATCATCCACAAGGACCACAAGTTAAGCTCAAAAAGCCTAATAAGTTCTTGGTGACACTTTTTCTCATTCAATCAATCTAAGCAAATAAAGGTATTTGTTCGCAGAACTTTTGTTATTGAATCTGTAATTGCCTAACTAGAAGATACCAACACTTGCATTTCATAATTCTTGCAGATCACTCATAGCAGCCTACTTGCTTGTTCTCAATGGTTATAAAAACGTTTTCTACTTAGAAGGGGGCCTTTACACATGGTTCAAAGAAGGACTGCCATCAGAATCTGAAGATTGATGCATCAATGATCACATGGTGCTTCCACAAAAACTCAAGTTTTGTCCCCATTAATCAAACTGATTCTACCCTTTTCCAATAGATTTTGAATGTGATTTCTTTTAGACATTTTAATCATATTAATCTTAAATCACTTTAAGTTCTATGTGAAACTTTATTTCTAATAATTTTTCAATGTGAAAAATGTATATGTAATAATACTAAGGGTTTGGTATCCAATATGAACTACATCATCAAACCTGACACTGATCCACTAGGATCTAAGCAATAACGATAGACTACTAGTTTAAACCACTTCATGTTTCAGACACTTATACAAGCACGCCTGAAATGTCCATATCAGAAAACAACTGCCAAGAATTTCATAACACCAAAAGTACCCATAATCAAATAATTAGATGAATTTAGGGCATCTATGATTCAAGCATTTTTCTTCCAATCTGTGCAGACAATTTTCTAGTAAGCTTTCTAAGTCCATTAATTAACTTTTTCTTTTCAAATGCTCTAGAAAAGAAAATGAGGTGATTAAATCATTTAATTTACAAGGTATACAATGTCAAATGCCCACACAGAAATAGACAATTTGATAGTTTAATATTACCTATTAGAAACAGCGGATCATGCAACACTCCTGATCAACTCATTCCAAAGCCAGGGTAGTCAACTTTATCCATGACTCTTGAGGACAAAATATCCACGATCAAGAAACTCAAAAACAAATATGCTCAGCTGAAGAGAACACACAACTGAAGCTACTGCCTTCCGCATCCCACTTCAAAGCACATATACAAAAGTGTGGCACCCTTGGAGGGCCCAGGGGACATTACACATTTCAGTGTTTACTCAGTAAATTCTTTACGCCTTCAAAGAAGCTCTAGCCACAGCTAGGGCACCTCCAAAACTTTGATTTGCACCAATGAATCCACTCATGTGGACAAAAACACAACCAGGGATCCCTGCCACCTCAGAGAGTTTGTTACCTTCCAAACCCCTCCAAGGAAGTGGTAGAGGTTTCCTACTCTCAAACTTGTCAGGTGAAACTGCTATGGCCTGCAGTCACCAATTTTCACTTCTATCATCCTGCAAATATGACACAGAATATAACTCTGAGAAAATTAGTATAAAGTAAGTTTATGGTAAATTTGGATTAAAGTGTCATGAGGTTAGTGGTTTTGAGCACATGGAGTTTTAATACTTGGTTTACTTAGAATCTTAACCAACATAGAAGGGAATAAGAGGGGCAGAGACAACAAAAGGTTACTTGGTAAATGGCATATTTGATGCTGGTATCAATCTTCAGTTCTTCCTCAAGCTCAAATATATGGAGTTTCCACTGAAAAAAAATGATCAATACAACCAAATGCAATTATACATCCAAGCATTAAGTACTTTATCGAAACACTTAGATTTTAAATAGAAATAGAAAATCTTCCCCATTCCATAGATAAAAATCAGTTGTTTCAAACACATGTAATATAATTTTCAAAATTAATTCATCTGTCCAGAGATATAAATGACAAATACCAAACAACACATCCACTGTTTACTCACAGGGCAAGGTCTTGTCAACACCATGATTTCTCCGCAGGAGTCAATATCATTTCTTGCTAAAAGACACTCCATTACAATAGATCGAGCTGGTAGCCAAGATTTTGCAAGAAAATGAATATTCTGTTTAGGAAACAACAATATTTCCATAAGCATAAACATGCTTCAACACTTCCTATTCAATTTTTTGAATCCTACAAGTATGGAAATAACTCCCTATTCAATTAGAGAATGCTTCACATAAGAATATCAACATGATGTTGCAAACTACACCTCCAAGAATTCACTGCCAGTGAGCGTCATTGCATGTTGAAAGGCTTCATTCTCTTTCTCAGATGATTGATCACGATCTACCCAGTCCAAATTTAATCTTCCAACTCTAAATGATAAGCCTGTAGAATTCACATATCTTGGCTGCTGGTCCATGTCATATTGATTAATTCCATTGTCAATAGCATCAACTGCCTGTTAAAGTGAGCCATATCTTAGCATGAGTTGTTCATAACATTGCGAAAGAGATATGGAACATGATCATACTACACTACAAAAGGAAGGTATAAAACATTGACAATATTGGGCATTTGAACCATTCAACTCTCTTTGTTATGTAAAGTAATGGGCCAAGGAATATTGTGAAATCACTAACTTAGAATATGTTTTATCTTACCTCCACAAAATTCTTATATACTGCTAGAAACAACCGAGACACATTTGGGTGCTGTACATCAAGCTGAAGCACCTTTGCAATTATCTCTGCACCGTAATGCTAAATGATAAAAATTGTCGATCAGATTGCAAATAACACATGATTCTCGTCGTTTATCATTTTAGAAACTCCAGAAGCATAATAGTTAAAGAGAAGGCGAAATAAATTACATATGCAAGGGTAGTGGGAAGGGTACCTTATATACAAGGCCTGCACTACTAAGTTTAGTGCTAAATCCCTAGCCAAATACTTGCTCAAATCCGCGCTGATGATGATCGTAACGATCTCGTGTAGGATCATAAACTCCCCCAACATCAACCACAGCATCGAGATTCTCCAACACCTTTAAAAGCATTCTCGAACCTTACTACATTAGTGATAAGAAAATGAGAATTAAAGAAACAATAGAAATTTTAAAAAAAAAAAAAGACACCTGAGAATCTCTGGTACGAACTATTTGGGCATTAGAGAATTTATTGGTAAGACGAATCATAAAACAGGCGAGAGCCTCGTCGCAGTGAAAGCTGCCGTTATGAGTGCCCACCCGCTTCGGCCTTGCCGTTGTCGTTGAGAACCCACATGCCCCATATATATAGCTATGAGACTTTGCCGTAGCTTTCCAAAGAATACCGTTATTTCTTGTGGATAGAGCTTGTCTGCTACATTGACTCTGGAAAATCAACAGCTTATGCCTCATCCCTCGCACTGCGTACATGTTTCCGCTCTCGCTCCTAGCCTCTGCCTCACCTGCAAAAGTTGCCTAACCCCTGCTAATTCTGTTTTCCCTTGAGCAAACAAAATTTTGCTTTTGTTGATTGGGCCCAAATCATACCTCTGGATTGGGTTTGCAAGATGACAATAGGCCCGATTTCTCAGGTAAAAGTTACCGTTCAACTGGGGTTATCGGCGTGGGTTTGACGAGTTCGCTTGTCCATTGGTTAGGAACTTTGGATTGAAAACTCAAGGCAACGGATCAACGGCTTGGCCGGCTTCAAGAAGAAAAGCAATCAAGCAACATTATCATTAGAACAGCAGTATAGCAATAGCAGAGGAACAAACACCAACCATGGTATTGCCTGCTCCAGTGCTGGGTTATAACTTCATAACCCATAATAAAATTATTGAATCGCAGATAACAAAATTCCATCGGCATTCCCAAATCACAAAGAAACCAATAAGAAATAAAAATTGATCATGCCATGTAATCCCGTATAGAACAGGGACTGGCAATTTGTGAACTATGATTTCCAACAGCAAATGGCAGCCAAGTGACCGTCTGAAAAAGTAACTACCGACTCCCCTCAACCACACACGACTCATGTACATAATTGCAACAATTCATAGCCAAAACTGCAATCAAACAAAGTATACAAAGCCATTATAGCCCTTCCAAAGAAACAGAACCCTGTATTCTGGTAGTTAAAATCCTAAGCTTCAAGGCTTTACAAGGGTGCCGTAAGGCTGAACCTTTACAAAGGTGCCCTAAGGCATTTAATCATTTGTTCTTCTTTACTGGATGGAATGTCAAGTTACATGCGATGTTTAATCAGGAGTCTTGCAGCCTGTATATTGTAATTTCCTGCTGTTTGAAATACCGGCGATCCTCTTCATCAACCAGAACAAGATTCAAGTAATACTTCACACTGAATTTGTTGTTAATGTTGCGATGAGTTGGCGTCAGTTCATATGGACTAAGAAACAGCCTGATTGGAATAGATTCACCTTCAATACGAAGAACATGACAGTGAGCACTATGCTTTAGAAAAGTTATATATCAGTTGCAATTGGAAATATCTGATATATCAAAACTAAAATTCTGCCCTAATCAATGTCCTTCAGGGAAAAAAAATGAGTTCACTCAATTATATATAAGCTAGTTGTATCAAGTATCTGCCACATCAGCATGTCTTATTAGAATATGCAAGAAATCTTTAGTTACAAACATACCTCTAACTGGGGCACCATCCATCAACTCAAATTTGGCTAGCGTCTCTGTCTCAACATGGGTATTTGCTCCTGATCCTGTTGACTCTCGACGCCTGATCTCAAGATCCATATTTTTAATCTTGATCCTCACAAGAAGAAAATATATCTTGCCAATAATAACATCTTTCAGATGATACCTGTGCAATTTGGATTCCAACAAGCAAGAAATTCAAGGTCTACTTGAAACCTACATGATAGAAAGTGGCTAGAAAAATTGCTTCCTCCAATGGTTCAAGCTGAAGAGTTTAAATCCTAAACCTGAACTGACCTAAGCCAACCTATGATGCAAGTTTAAGTAAGAACTGTTGATGTTCAACTTACTTGCTTTTATTGTACTCAAACTCAATGTGTAGGCAATCTTCAATTCCAACTTCCATCTGCAGAAGGGATTGATATTTGTTAATATTAAATGTTTTCAAAGAATTAAGCGGTGGGCAGCTCATGGCAAAAAGAACAAGTAATATTCATAAAAATCAGTTGAGGAACCAACGCAAACCACAGTGCAATCACCATACTAGTATTAAAACAATGGCACTCACCTTGATGCTATTGTTGATTGATGGAGCTGGAGAATAATTACGAACCTGATATGTATAAAAGAAGCAAAAGTAAGTACATCACTGACAATTGTAAATGGCACTCAATAGTGTACCATATAAAATTATCTATACAGTAAATGTCCTGAAACCATAATGAAAGGCCATGTATATTGATGCTGGCTTTCCTGTAAATGAGTATTATTTCAGGTAAAAGGGGCTAAAAAGCACTCTTCACAGTAAGGCAGAGCTTCAGGTTCTGACATTTGTAGCACAAATTAAGTCAACTATGTGCTTATTTGCGTAATGCTGTTAGTGTGTCTGAGAGTTGGGTACCATAGTGTGCTAGCAAAAGAGAAAGAGAAAGGAGATAGAGAGAAAACCAAAATTAAAAAGACAACAATGAAAGGAAGTGGCAGCAGATAGAAATGCTTACCATAAAGTCCTGGTATTCCACTATGCTTCCACCATAATTACGACTAACTGTCACTTTCAGGACATACCTGTGAAGAGCAAATAATCAAATTATTGTAACATGAGTTGTCAGATTATAGCATCACATCACCAACATCATCTGCGAACCAACAAAAGTAAAGAGCTTTCTAGAACTCAACACTTAGCATATTATACATATCAGAACAATTTGTAAACTTTATTAAGTACCCAAAACTATAATAACAAACTTCTTGTGATCAAGGAAACACTTCATTCCAATTGACCAGAAGAAATATGAACAAAAGTTTAGCTTCAAAGATGTTCAGCTTACTAGGTAGCATACCTGAGCCGCACATTCACACCATTATAAGTTTCATATGGCATTTCCACCGTAGAAAATTCAAACGGATATGTTTTTCTTTCAAATATCTCCCCAGGAATATCCAGTTCACGTACTGCAAATATTAGGAATATAAAAATGGTAAACAATATAAACCAATCAACTATCTATAAGAACTTAGGATAAACAAATATTTTCATGCACAGTTTGAGCCTCCATAAGAGTGAAAGAAGGATGTGAATAATCATAAACTGCAAAGCACAAATTGAACTATTAAGTTCTTATCTTTACCCCCACCCACCTCACATGGAATAATGAACATTAATTCCCAAAATTACATAAAGAACAATCTAAACAATTGCCAGGCAAAGCAACCAAAAGTAGAGCCAGACTATACTCACCGAGAGAGGTAAAGTCATAAAAATTGCCTTTGTCAAAATACATCTCTGGGAAACAAAATCAAAATCAAGTGTTAGCTTCATTTGAACAAAAAAGAAATGACAAAACTCTTAAACCTTATTCAGCCACCAGATCAGAATGATATTTAAAACTTGGATTAACTCAGTGAACGATTGAAAGCAGGAGCATTGACAAACCTATTTGACCAAGGAGCTCGACTTTCACACCATTATGTTCAATTTTCTTCCCTTGAAGTGGTTCTATGGAAATCTGAAGACGGAAGATTTAAAAATTGATAAAGGAACATTCAAAGCTATATATACAAGACTCCAATGATATGATCCTCCATCTGTTAAACAGTAGATAAATAGATAAATACCTTTCCAGCAATATTTTCTTGACTTTGGAAAAGAGGTACCATAACCGTTTGGCCATTTTCCTTTTTCAATGGAACCTAATAACATAAAAATAATCCAGATTCCGGCACAATGACTCAGGAAAATTTAACAAAGCAATCGCAAGAATTAAAACTAAAATTTCTGTTTATAATTATCATTTCAAACGAAACTAAACCTGAGATTGTCAAGGGAGATACCTGCTTGCGACTTTTTCCATCGGAAAATGTAATCGAGATATTACATGCCGGCTTGAAAGCTCCAATCAGGAAATTCTAATTAAACGAAAATAGTTCTCAATTGCATTCAATAAACTGCATTTTACAGTCTAATTGGAAATCCCGTCAAATAAGTAAAAAAAAATTGCAACGAATGTGAGATCTTACCATGCTGTTACGATTCAATTCTTGTTAATCGCTATGGAAAATCGATGAGATCAAGTGAAAATGAGCAGGTCGAAATTGGGTATCAGTTAAAATTTCATAAAGTATAAATTGGGATCGGAAACCGCAGCAAGAAGCGAAACACCCTAAACCTCAACGGGAATCGAGATTGGGGAAGAAGGGTTACCCAACCACTTTTGACAGTTAGGAATCGGAAGCAAGACTGGCGTCCAGTAGTACCAAGCTCGTTCTCGCCGTCACGTGCCTTCCACGCGATGTCGCGACAAAAACAAGACACTAGACAGCTCCTAGTACTAATCGACTTTTTTCAATAAAAAAATAAAAAAGAAATTAACTGTAAAAGAGTTGGGCTTGATTATCCGCGTTCAATTTGGGGCACGGAAAGCACAAGCTGCTTGATTTCAAGACTTTTTATCTTCAAAGGTGATGAACTGGGCTTTATAAGGCTTTTGGTATAGAAACTTCCAACCGCCTTTACTGGTAAAAACTTCTACATTACAAATATGTGTATTTATAAAATTTTTGCCCAATCGTTTTATTTTTTTTTTGTCGGAATTTAATGTTTACTGTTTTGATATTGTGCCTCAAGATTCAAATCAGTTTACGCGTATTCTTACAGAATTCATCAAGCAATTTTCAAGAGAAATCTGTTTCTAATTTTTATTATTACTACATTGGATGTAATAATACTGTTGATTTTTATCAGTGGTAGATTATTCTAATACTAGGATTTTAATGTCTTCGAATATTGGCTTGGAGCCAGAAGACGAGGATATCTTTCTTTCTTTCTTAATTGTCCTTGATTGGCTTAGAGTTTAGAGTCTATACTAAGGCTACACTGCAGCGTGACTTCCCTCTGTGTCTGGTTGATATATTTTAATCTATGACTCCTGCCCAAGTCATTAAACTAGGAATCTGCATTCCGTGTCCCTATCCCAAAGGCAAAGGCTGACTGGCGAAAACAAGCACTGCAATAATGAACGCCATACCAAATCATTGGATTCAAGGAAGACAGTAGGTCAGCTCTGGCTAGAAATTGAATTCAGGATAGGGAAAAACAGGGGCAGGGAGAATCCACATTATCTCCTTGCACTTGGGCAGAGACTGGAAACAGAGGCCAACTACTCTTAACTAAGTATTTTATATAATATTCTTTAACAAAAAATTAATATATTCAAAAGGTACATCAAAAACTAGACGCAATTTGATAAATCTCATTCTCCCTGAAAGGGGTGTCTACAAAGCGATATTCCAAATTGCAGAATCACGAATTAATAAAAAAAATAAATGTTTGATTCATTGAAAATTCTTTTTGTTACAAGCTTTTAGCTTCATGTCTTGAACCTTCTTTGTCAACTGAACCTAAATCTAAAGGCTCCTCTTTTCTCCTACTCCCCATCTTTAAAAGTCCATATAATTTTCGAAATTCTCTTACTGAATTATCCCGACTCAACACGTTTCCTTGATCACCCGTGTCGTCTGAATTTCGAACAGATTCGCTGTCATTCAATCTTTTACTGACCTTTTTAGCATTACTGCCCGTGGTTTGCAAAGCTGTGATGACTGATTTCAGGGCCCGAGTTGGTGAGCTTCTGTTAGAAATCATGATCTCGCCAATCTCAGCCGGACTTAAACTAGCCCCTCCCTGGAAAATCTCTTCGACATGCGGAAAAAGCTTATGTTCCTTGACACCTAAGTAACTATTAGCCAAACTCTTGAAGGCAGAGAAATCACATAGTGGAAATTGTATGTGAACATCAATCCTCCCCGGCCTCAGAACCGCTTGGTCGACCTGATCTTTGCTATTCATTGTGAATACCAACACGCGTTCCTCGCCGCAACAAGATACGATTCCATCCATGAAATTCAGTATCCCTGATAAGCTCACATCCCTTGATTTCTCCATCAAGAAACGGTCAAGATCCTCAACCACGATCATAGACCTACTGGTTGTTTGCAGCAAGAGCATCTTCAAATCAGAGTCGTCTGAAACTTTTGACAAATCAACGTCATACACATCAAAAGAGAGGAACCTAGCCATAGCAGCGACAAAGCTGGATTTTCCTGTTCCGGACGCTCCATATAGAAGATAACTCCGCTTCCAAACACGGCCTAACCTACGATAATATTGCTTTGACTTGAGAAACATTTCAAGATCAGCTTTGACCCTATTCTTCAGATCAACGTCCATGACAAGAGTATCAAAAGACGCTGGGTGATGGAACGGTACCGATCTCCACCGTCCATTCTGACCTGATGAATTCTCAACATTCATGTGCAACTTGATCTCTTTCTTCCTTTGATCAATATCATCAGCAACAGACAGTATGTGTTGGAGATACGGACGTAGAATTCTACGTTTATCGTTCTTTCTGAGCCTCAGCACGAACACTCTACTTCCATTGTTTTCCGATTTCTCGACGGTCCAGGTGACTCTGGCGCCAAGAAACGTATCCCCAATCGTCTGGTTCGTATCAAGGTGAAGAACAATATCATTTGACTTGGAACCGGTGAAAAGGTTGGTGAAATCCGAGTCTTCCAGGGAAGGGAGAGAGTTCAGATACGTAGAAACCTTGTGATAGAGCTCGTTGTCCTGGAAAAGATCGTTAAACTCTGGGACTCTGTACGATTGGTACACATGAAACCAGTCTCCCAAAGACCGCAAAAGCTTGAGAAGGATGTGTAACAGGGATGTTTTTGACAAAAAACGGAGGATCAAAAACAAGACCAGGATCGCAAACAATATCAGGATCATGTTTACCATCTTGGGGGGGTGAAGATGGGGTTGGATCCGATGGGAGGAGACCAAAAATGGAGAGGCTATAAAAGGCGAAATGGGGACGTCATTTATGGGGGCAACTCGGAATTAAGTCGGCTTGAGCCGGCAAGGGCACCACGGTCAAAGGCACGAGAAGCAGAGAGTTTTGGACTTGTGACTCAAGACTATTAGCATTAGGGCTTAAATTATAATTGAATAATCTGCTGCATTTGTGGCCAACTTTTTCAATGGTTTTGACTGGAACAAAAGAGCTTTGATTTTTCCGTGAATTTGGTGGCAATTTTAAAATTGATGATTGCTTTATACTAAATTCTGCAGCGTGTTTTTATGTTGTTTATAGTCTCTACGGTGAGGGAATATCGGGTTCGGATTATTTTGAAATATTTATTTGGAGAGTTGATGCTTCATAAAATTGATTTATTCCACTTCTAAGAAAAGGATAGAGGCTGAATAAAAAACTGAATACAAAGTTCGAGAAATGACAGAATCAGCAATCTACCAAGTTTCTCTATATTTTTCTGCTTGTTCCTTTGGATTTCTCCACCTGCTTTAAATTGGGCGGATGAACACATATCATGGTTAAGATTAAGGAATTGTCTCGATCTAATTGTATAGGAACAACTCACCCAAAAAAAGACTTTTGACTTTGCTCAAATCATGCAAGAGAGATAAAAAGCCTGGAGAAATGTAAAAAACATGGGAAAAAAAAAAGAGAAGGGAACCGGAAAGTAGGGGGAATGCGACAGGTAAAACAGAGCAATATTCAAAGCTTACAGCCCACAAACGCATTGTCGTCTTCTCAGCATTTATGAGTCCTTCGAAACGAGTAAGCTCAGCCTTTTTTCCTTCCTTTTTCAGTTAAAAGAAAAGCTCTGAACTTGTTTGTTTAAGTTATATTTTAAATTCATATTCAGGACAAACAGATGAACAGATTGCAAACAAAACTATAATGATTCCCAGTTGCCAATAGAATGACATGTTCTAACATTTTTATAATAATTATTTATTTTTTATAATAAAAAATCTTAATAAGATTTGTCGAAGGTGTACAGTACAGGAAAGAGGACCTTTTCTTTTAACTCAGATGCTAACGAGGACTTGACTGACACTGTTTATGACATAAATATTGTCAATTGAAATCACCTACTGTTTTCGTTTTAAATTTATTATTTTTATTTGCTTTTCACATATTTTTTTTTAAATTTGATTATAATGTATTTAATATTAAACTTTTTTTTACATAATTGATTCTTCATTATTTTTAAGGCCAAACAGTAAAAATATATATGAAAAATAATTTAAAAATATAAAAAAGTAAAAATAATAAATGTTAAAAAAATATAATTTTGAGACAATCTGAAAAGAAAAAAATACAAACAAAATGAAAACGGAAAAAGTAATAATTATATTTAATGCCAAAAAGTAAAACAAAATTATGAAAAATAATTGTAAAATATTTAAAAAAATCTCAAACCTCATTACCAATTTCGACTCACTGACACAAATCTCCATGAGTTGCCCCCTAGATATCAGATTTTGCAAAAGAAAAGAAAGAACATTTATGCCATGAACAAAAAAATGCAGTTGACAAAAACTCCCTTTAATCAATGTTTAATGATTTGGGAAATAATTTTAGCAGTCAATTATGCATTATGGTAACGTTTGGTATTTTATAATATAATATAATTATAGGTAACGTGATTGCAAGTAATGTGATTACAAGCAATGTTATTATAGAAAAAATAACATTACAGTGTTTAGTATATAAACAAAATAATGATTAAAATACAGAAAAAGTAATATTACAACGTTTGATTTACAAGTACTTTGTTGATAATGTAATGTTAATTTTTAAAATTACCTATAGTTATTAAAATATAAATTTAATATATTTATATTTTTTATTATTAATTTTTATATAATATCATATCTTAAATATATTTTTAATATCATAAATTTTATTTTCATTTATTATTATAATCTTATATTTTTATTTTTATTTTTTTAATATAATGTTTTATATTATATATTTTATTTTAATTTATTTTACCTATATTATATAAATTTTAATTTTTTATATTTTATTTTATTTTAATTTTTAATTTTTATATTATATATTTTATTTTAATATTTTTTATTTTAATTATAATATTATTAATAAAATAATAAAATTAAAAAATAAAAATATTTTTAAAAACATTACAAATGCAATCTAATGTGATTGCAATCTATGTAATATGATTGCATTAGTTTTGGACTACAATCATATTACATCTCTTGACTGTAATGTAATTGCATTGCAATCTTACATTACAATGATATATTACAAAATAAACACTGTAATATAATTTAATTAAACACATTACAAAAAATATACTCTCACTTTCTTCATACCAAACGCTACTTATATGTGTACATTTTCCTGCTCGAAATGAACTCTCGAGGTCAGAACCTGCATTTATGATAAAGCCTAAAGGTAGCATAAGACAGATGGGAAAGACTTGCAAAGTTGCAACATCCACGGCATGAGATGAGCCAAAGGTAAGGCTGGACCCGCCAGCTTCAAAATGGTACCCAGTACCGGGACTCCAACCCACCCCCATGCCATCACCGGCTCGTTATAAATTAACCTCAACAATCATTCCTGGCTGTTGCAACCGGCAAATCATATGAACAAAAGACTCTGAAAAGCAACCACTAATGATGAGAACAACATGCATTCAACATTATATTATTGCTTTCACATTATAACATGGGAGCTCCAACCCCCAAACCTAACCCCAAAATGGCTAGAACCATTCTTGTTTCAGGGATCTTCCCTATCAAGCAACAAAAAGTAGAATAGAACATCAAACCAGTCTTAACAGTGGTCCACCACATAACATCCCCATTAAACTGTATCAACAGAGTTTCTAAAAATATTACAACTAAAAGATTTCACTCGCAAGCTCCATTGGCATCGCTGCATCTAAAGTTAATGGGGGGGGGGGTGAAATTGGAGCCCAGGCGCCCAAAAGGCAAATTGAAATTACTTTAAATGAATAACTTGGTAACTTAACAGTTCTTATCGTTTCAAAGCTGCCATCACAAGCTTTACATAAGATGTCACCTCAAATGTTAATAAATGCTTTGCCAGGAAAAAGAATCTAATTTTCCGAGCATAGTATTACAGAACACGAGACTGCGAACCATAATCTGAGTTATAGAGATGAGAATTTCAGGCATCCTGAGAATCTGATTGAAGGTTAACAATTTGAAAAACTACAAGCTTCGAGAGTTCATTGATTGCAGCTTGAACCTGATAATCATCTGATTCTTTCTGCCTTGACCATCCAGATAACTGTGAACTTAACCTGGTATATTCATTTGCAGCAACCCCGGTCTTCCTCGATGTGGAAAGTACTTTCTCCAAATCAGTCTGTGATAATGGCCTTGGAGCCTGAAAAACAAATAATGGAACATAGAGAAGAAACTTAATAAGATAAATAATTAATGATATGTGGCTAAAGATATGAAGGTTAAAGGTAAGATACCAAAGTTCATCAATTCTGCATGGAAATATAACTTTTATTCATAGATATACGTTTAAGATAATAAAAAGATCTTCCTAGAATCTCATCATCTATGCCATTCCATCAAAAGCAAGTACTTGTGACAAAAAAGAGAAGTTTGATTCAGTTCCTCAACACACAACAGAAACGGGAGCTACCTCAACTAAAATATATTTTGAACAGAAAATTCATAGGTTTAAGATGATGAGTGAGATCATTCAGAGATATATGCTTAACCTCTGAAAAACTTGAGAAAGCACAGCACATTGACACAAAAAAGAAATATAATAAATACACTTACTCCAGACGGCTTTCCTTTCTTCTCATCATCTAGTAAGTCCCTGATAGGAAAGTATGCTGCTTTCTTGCAGAGTTCAAGAAGATCTGAACCTGTGAAACCTTCACACAAACTGGCTATGAAGTCAAAGTTGATGCCCTCTTCAACCTTCTCACCCTTCAAAATCACCTTCAGTATCTCAGCCCTCTCACTGCGATCAGGTATTCCAATCTCGAAAGCCTGGGGAAGACGCCTGAGTATGGCTTCATCTAGTTCTGAAGGACGATTTGTTGCAGCAAGAACCATAACTCGTGCATTCTCTGCACGACAATATACAATCATTAAATATTATATAATAAATTTAAAAATAGTACTTAAGCCTTTCATCACAAAATAAACAAAAGACAGTACTTTGTGGAGAAAGATACTAGACTATAACAGCTTTTTAGGTAAAAAATACTCACGATCAGTAGTAAAACCATCCCATAAAGCCATGAACTCAGTCTTCATGTTTGTCATTGCTTCATGATCTGTATTACGACGCTGTCCTAAAAAACTGTCAACCTCATCAATGAATATAATAGCAGGCTGGAGTTTATAAGCCAAGCTAAACACGGCGGCCACTGCAAAAGTAGAAGAGCAAATAAACAATACAATCTGAGACATAAAATGAACAGACTTGCATGAGGCCTTACATCCATTGCGAAAGCCAAATGAAATGATGATTAATTGATTAGAAAGGCCAGCTTACTGATACTTACATATGCAATGACCGTTTTCATCTTTTTCTTTTTTTGGGGAGTGAGGACAATTTTCAGAGTAAATTTTCCAGTAATCATGGCAGAGTAGATTTTAAAACAATGCAGGCCATCAAAAAATATTTTAAAAATTAAAAGAAGAAGAAGACTGGACATTGTATTTCCAGGACATGTTTAGATGACATAACCATTTTTGAGGCCTCAAGCAAAAAACATAGTATGAAACCATCTGGCATGACCTTAGCATTGTTGAGTTGGTGAACCTTCTCTTAGAAGAGTGCTTTTTCCCTATGTTAAACTCAACAGAACAAATAATAACCCCAAAAAAAACAGATTACGGTCCAATTTTAATCCCCTATAATGATACGAATCCAGGTATAGTCAAAAGAAATGCAAGCCACAAGGGATAGAGCAATCCTAATAAATACTTACCAAGTTTCTGTGCATCACCAAACCACTTGCTCATCAGATTTGAAATCCTCACATTTATAAAAACAGCTCCAGACTCCTTTGCAATGGCTTTAGCAAGCATGGTCTTTCCAGTACCTGGGGGTCCATATAACAAAACCCCTTTTTGAGGACCAAGAAGCTTTCCATGTGTAAACAGCTCTGGTCTCCGCAATGGAAGAATCACTAGTTCGTAGAGAGCCTGCTTGATGGATTCTAATCCTCCAATAGACTCAAATTCCACATCAATGTGATCAGGATTTATCACATCACATGCTATTACATCCTGTTAAAGTGGAAAAAATACAGATATGCCACAACCATAAAAGTTAACAGTTAGGACCCCTTACTTCTAATCTAACATTATATCTCAAAGCAAATATGCCAACAGCCTATATTACGGATGTATCAAGTAGGATGTTAACTGAATATACCATATATGAATTCAAAATAAATTCTGTAAGCATGCATCCAGAGATAAGATATTTTTAGACAAATAGTAGGTAGGATATAGACAAACATAATAAAAAGAAGAAAGGAAAACGCTAGCAAACCAGAAACATCACAAAGAAAACCTATAAGGAAACTATAGGCTAAGGGCTGCAAGAAAGTCTGAAAATATGTATGATCATGAGTTAGCATTCCAATTTCTGCAGAGTTTATTAGTAAGTGGCTGGTCAACTATTCTCCATTAGTGTGGATGACTTCTTTGTTAATTAGAACCTTGATGGTAATTGTGAAAATAGGGTAGGAAAATTTGCTTTTGCGTTTACATTTTACCTTTCATGACTATGCCAGGGTCTAGTGTGGTAGGACTGTACCATGGTGCCAAGCGAACCCTAACAAAACACATTATTTTAAAACTATATGGAACAACAATGTTTGAACTCGCTGTGTGCTGATGATTTTTAGTCGAGCATAATTTCCCCTTTTACCATTAGCTTTGGCTTAATAGCAACTTAGCAAATAACAAACAGGAACAATCAAAAGGAAGCTACCCTGATATCCCTTTCCCTTTAGCAAGATTTAATGATTCACTACTCAAATTCAGACAAAAGACACTGATTTCTATTCACACAAACAAAATTTTGCAATTTTTGAGCTTTAAATTCCATTCCAACTAAAGAAAACCCTAAGAAAATACTCAAGAATCAATAAAAACTCACAAATTAACGAAGCTTACAATAAAATTACACTTTGACCTAAAAGGAAACATATAAATATAACCATTTTCTTCATTTCCAAATAAAAGTACCTCGTAGGGATTGGTGTGAATTAAAGGACGACCCAAGCGCTTGGCAATTTCCTTCTTCTGCTCGAGTGCCTTTTTAGAAGCCTCCCGGTTGGGGTCGAGGTGTCGGAGCCCCGCGAAGAGGACCAAGCAACTAAGGGCGGCGCTGGCAGCGTACAAAATCAGTTCTTGCAGGAACTTTGTCTCCGACGACGATGAACCCATCTTTCACATATAATTTATTTTTTCAGTATATTATATATCGTAAAAATCTTATTAATAATAGTATTTAGGTTTTAATATAGAAGACGAAGAGGTTTTCGCTTCGAAGAAAGTACTTAGCAATGAAGGAAAGGGAATAGGCTTTAATTTGGTTAACTTGGTCGGTACTCGCGAATAAGGAAGCAGAAACGAGAAGGAAGTCTATGCGTTCTCGACGTTATATGATATAAGGTTTCCAGTAAATTCCATTTCTTTTCCTTTTTTTAAAAAAAAATAAATTTTGCCGGGCTCGTGCTCATGCCATTGGGTCTTGCATCCCCTCGGTATGATGAGCCGCAAACTCCAAATGAAGCGAACTCATCTCTCCACCCCTCGGCCCTCAGTCCAAGCCCAAAAAAAACAAAAAGGCTTAGACTAAGAAACTTAAATTTTTTAATACTGAATAAAGATAAGAGATAAAAAAAGAATATCCAACCCAAATTTCTAATTTATAAATCCTATGGTCATGTTCCACTCACAAACCTTTCCGCTTTTGATGCATACCACTCGACTTTAACATTAATTAACGTGAGGGGACCGAAAGAAAAGTGGCAAGAGACTAGAAAAAATACTAAAGACCATTTTGCTATTATATTTTATTTTGATGAGGTACCTATTTATTTGTTTATTGTTTTAAAAAGCAACGAAAACGACACAGAAACATAAGCTCTGTTAAAATTATGAATTCCTTTCACGTGCAATAATAATAATAATAATTTATTATTTAAGCTTAGGATCCTAATATAGTATTAGTCCATGTGACTATTATTACTCAACAGAAAGAAGGAGCGGATGCAATTGTCTTAAATTCTTTTTTGCCTTGATCGTGTCTCAATAAAATTATCTCCAATTAGGCAAAAAAAGAAAAGAAAAAGCAACTGAATATAGTTCCATGTTGTACTGCCCTCTTTGATTTGAAGTAACTATAGTACAACATCTTCAGATAATTAGGTTAGTCCAGTTATGCCAACCAAAGTGGTATGTCATTTATCACAAATCTACTTGTGCCAGCCAAGTTTGGGTTCTTTTGGTTTCATCCATCAACGTCACAGCTCACAAAACTACAATGGAGATTGCTACTTGCTTGCTAGCCTCATTTTGTGCTATCTCCTCAACTTTGAAGATGATTCCGACAAGAACAAAAAGTTCAACTGTTACAAAATTCCTTGCGTCTCCAAATTTGCTTCATCCTCCGATTGGGCCACTCGAAATTAACTTTTCCATAATCTGCAACATTCAAATAGAAAAAATCAATGATACCAAAAAGAAATGTAAAAAAATATGGTACTACCACGTGTAAATATCCCTTCTTTGAAAAGTGAAAAAGGGTGAGGAATAATAATAACATAAAAGAAAAAGGCCGAGGTAGTGATTAAAATTCGACGTCAATGGATTGACGATGGATACTCCGCATCTAGGGCTGCGAATGTTCTCATGTTGGAGCTTGGTTTGTTTAGATTCGGGTTCGTTTTGTGTTTCATAAATATTTTTAAAATAATATTCGAGCTTGATTCAATTAAAATAAATAAAAAAATATGAATAATAATAAACAAAAAGAGTTATTACGAAAGTATGATTATAGTATTATTCGATCTTAGTCGAATAATAAACAAGGTTGTTCAAAATCATTCATTTACCTTCTTAAAACGAACGTGAACGGTGAACTAACCTAATTTTACTCGTCAAACTATTCAGTAAACGCACGGGTCTTCTCGACACTCGTCTTAAGCAACTCCAAGGAAAGACACGTGTGCAAACAAGGTGTCCTTGAAGCATTCTTTCTGTCTGCATGCTTTACACGCCAGGAAAGTCCATTTATTCGTCCTTACTCCTTATTACATTATTATTCTTAGTCTTCAACGGATTTTATTGCTCACTCCGTTTTATTTGCGTCGTCGTTTTTACTCTATTTACTATTTACTATTATTTAATAATTTGTAAACAAAAATATTTTACAGGACAGTTAGGATTTTTTGTTACGGTATTACAGATTTCTTAAATTTTGTGCCAACAAGCACGCTCGACAATGAAACCGGAAGCACAAAAGTCCACTTGTCAACAGAAAGTGATATCTAAGGCCAGGCAAAGGCTTTGATCCGACGCCATCAGATATGGGGCACCCTTCCAGGGGCCTCACCGTCTTTATCTAGATTTGCTGTCTCTGAGTGTTTGAGTCTTTATATTTTAATTTTGTTGCATGTGCCATGTCGTGAAAGCCACACGCCTTTTGATAGTACTCGGCGCTTTCAAGCCAAAGTAGTCGAACTAGTTCGAATGAGTCACTTCGAAATGACTCCCATTTCCATTTCCATTTCCATTTCTATCCCACTCTTTCTCTCTCTGGAAATTGGAATACTTGCTTTGATGGGAGTCAACGTCAAGGATCAAAATTTATGTCTAAACAAACATTTGTTGAGATGTATCGGGGTCAATGGGGGAGGGTTGAGAAATGTACTGCAAAGCATGTTTTGTACTACTCTGCAGTACATGCAAAGGGTCTTGAAGTCTTTTACTGCTATATTTTCTGTTGGGGTTGGTAACCTGTTGTTACTATGATATAAGACCAAGCAATTTAAACTTTGCCGAATTGCAAAGTCTTGGATTTGCTCATTTTGAGATACCCTGTTGAAGATTTTGGAGTGATCTTGGCTCAGGTGCGGTATCCAATGCCCTGGTGATATTGCATTGAATTGAATTTAAGTACCGCTTTGGCTTTTTCTGGGCCGTGTGGATTGCTCGTGGTCCTCTTGGGGTGTTTATTACTACTCGATCCGTTGAATTGAAACACTAAACTTGGATATTTGCGGTTTCTTTTTCCTGGTGTTTTACGGGTCAACCCGAGGAGTGATATGCATAAGGTAAGAGATCAGTGAGTATTTTATTGCTTCTTTGGTATGTTCTTAGATTACAAAAACTGAAAAGCTAATCCCAATTTGATGTTGTTTAATGAATTCCAGTCAATACGATGGAGAAGAATTAGAAGAAACAAATTTGAGCCTGTCCTAGTCTTTTTCCGAGGGTCTGGTCTTTGCTGAACTCCAGCAAAAGAGGAAAGCAAGAAGAGGAAAACCCTGCTCACTGAGGTAAGATCTTTGGTGGCTGTATAAGTTGAGTTTCACTGTATCTGTTCTCGCTTGCAACTGGACCTGCTGAAAATGAGATTTTTGTTTTGATTGGTTACGCTTGTAAGAACCAGATTTTATCCAATCCAATGGGAACCACGAACATGGAAGAGATGAAGGAGATTGAGAGAGTCCAGAGAGAAGATCTAGAAGAGAAGAATACTGAGACAGAGGATTTGAAGAGAATTGCACCCTGGATGAGACAGATAACAATACGAGGGCTCATTGCTAGCTTCCTTATTGGTATCGTATACAGTGTGATAGTCATGAAGCTCAACCTCACAACCGGGCTAGTTCCCAACCTCAATGTCTCGGCTGCTCTTCTTGCCTTTGTACTTGTTAGGTCGTGGACCAAGCTGCTTCAAAAGGCTGGATTTGTTGCAACTCCATTTAGTCGACAAGAGAATACTATAATTCAAACCTGTGCGGTTGCTTGTTATAGTATTGCTGTTGGAGGTTTGTGTTCTCTTATCAAGTTAATTTGTTGTTTGCAGTCCATATTTTCTTCCTTTTGGGTAAATTTTATTCATACCATTTCACTTGTTTTTGTTTTCTCCATCAATTATTGAATGCAGGAGGTTTTGGGTCATATCTGTTGGGTTTAAACAGGAAGACATATGAGCAAGCAGGCGTTGATTCAGCAGGCAATAATCCGGGGAGCATCAAGGAACCTGGGATTGGTTGGATGATCGGTTTTCTCTTTGTGAGCAGCTTTGTTGGGCTTCTGGCATTGGTTCCTCTAAGAAAGGCATGTCTATTGCTTCTATTTTCCTATCTTTCTATTCAGTGTTTCCAAGATAAATTGATGATGGATTCATTTGCAGCGATTTCGTTGAGTCTTAGATGGTAATCCAGGTCTTAATTCGTTAAGATCATTGTATCATCTTTATAGTCAACAATGATTTCCCTTTTCAGACATGCAATAATCTGGTCATGTGATTTTTGTTCTGTCAGATCATGATAATTGACTACAAATTGAGTTACCCAAGTGGAACTGCTACCGCTGTTCTGATAAATGGGTTTCATACCCCTAAAGGAGACAAGATAGCTAAGTATGAATCTACCATTCTGAATTCTTTTCTTCTCAAATTAAACACCAAACAGGTTTTGAGTGTGACATAACTCAAACATGTAATGATTCATCTTGCAGGAAGCAGGTGCATGGGTTTCTGAAATTCTTTTCACTCAGTTTCCTCTGGGCTCTCTTCCAATGGTTCTATGCAGGTGGAGATAGATGTGGATTTGCTCAGTTTCCTACATTTGGTTTGAAAGCGTGGAAAAACTCGTGCGTACTGTAAATTTTTTCTTCTCCATGTTTGCATCTTACCACTCACATATCTTGCTATAATCATTAATTAGCGAAAATCCAATTTTGCAGATTTTACTTTGATTTCAGTATGACTTACATAGGAGCAGGAATGATCTGTTCACATCTTGTAAACTTATCTTTGCTCCTTGGAGCGGTGCTTTCTTGGGGGGTAATGTGGCCACTAATAGGCGGGCTCAAGGGAGAGTGGTTCCCTGCAACTTTACCAGAAAGCAGCATGAAGAGTCTAAATGGTTACAAGGTCTGCAGAGACATTTTCTTTTCATTTTGAAAGCAGAGCTTCTCCCTTAACAATAACTTGGAACCAATTTTCGTACTCATTTCTTACTATTTCCACTCGTCACTCAGGTATTTATTTCTATTGCTCTAATCCTGGGGGATGGGCTCTACAATTTTCTGAGGATTCTGTTTTTCACTGCCAGAAGCATTCATGTCAGAGTGAAAAATAACAACAGCAAAACATGTAAGCCATCAACTTCATAACGTGTCTTTTTCTTTGGCTCTTGTCCAGCTTAGCACTTCACTAATTTTCTCCTCACTAGTTATAGCTACTATTTCATCTGGTGCTAGAGGTGCTGATTGCATTTTACAAGGGTACTTAAGCAATCCAAATATTCTGTTTTCACATTGAGGTGGTTGACTGCCCCTTTTTATCATGATTTGACATGCTGCAACAGTGCCCATTTAACTTGGGAAGTGCTAAACCAGAGATGGGTCACCATTTTCTCATAGAGTCTTTGGAGAATAAAAATTTAACAAACTCTTCCTTTTCTATATTGCTGTCAATAGAGAATTACAACTTTATTAACTTAATTTGCTTGTAACGCAGTTTCTGATAGCGAGAAGCATCATGTGGATGTTCTTCAGCGAAATGAACTATTCGTAAGAGAGAGCATTCCTATGTGGGTAGCATGTTTAGTATACACCCTTTTTTCTGTCATCTCCATCATTGTGATACCTTTGATGTTCCCTGAACTAAAGTGGTATTATGTAGTTGTTGCTTACATTCTTGCACCATCTCTAAGCTTCTGCAATGCTTATGGTGCTGGTCTGACTGACATGAACATGGCCTATAATTATGGAAAAGTAGCCCTCTTTGTGCTAGCTGCCTTGTCTGGAAAGGAAAATGGTGTGGTTGCAGGACTTGTGGGCTGTGGTCTGATTAAGTCCATTGTTTCTATCTCTTCTGATTTGATGCATGATTTCAAGACTGGTCATCTAACTCTCACTTCTCCAAGATCCATGCTCCTCAGCCAGGCAATTGGAACAGCCATTGGCTGTGTTGTAGCTCCTCTTACATTCTTTCTATTCTATAAAGCTTTTGATGTGGGGAATCCTGATAGTGAATACAAAGCCCCATATGCCCTCATTTATCGAAATATGGCAATTCTTGGCGTTCAAGGCTTCTCTGCCCTTCCCCAGCATTGCTTGCAGCTCTGCTATGGGTTCTTTTCCTTCGCCATAGCAGCCAACTTGTTGAGAGATTTTACTCCCAAGAATATTGGGAAATGGGTTCCCCTTCCAATGGCTATGGCCGTGCCTTTCCTAGTTGGTGCTTATTTTGCAATTGATATGTGTGTGGGGAGCTTGGTTGTGTTTGCATGGCACAAGCTAAACGGCAAGAAGGCAGGTTTGATGATTCCTGCTGTTGCTTCTGGCTTGATATGCGGAGATGGGTTGTGGCTTCTTCCTTCTTCTATCCTTGCTTTGTTTAAGGTTCGTCCTCCTATCTGCATGAACTTTCTGGCAACAACATAGGCTATGTTATGAGGACACAGAGAAAGAGAGACATTGGAGAGGTTATGTTAGTTACAGTTAGCAAAAATTAATCGCAGTTGAAATGCAAAATAGATTACCGACCAGAATACGGTTGATACACCACTACACAAGGTGTGTAAAGGCAAAATTTTAGATATATGTATTTAAGCTGCTCTAAAGTAATACTTCGTATATGCCTGAAGTGGCAGGAAAAATTAGTTAGCTGTGATGTATATCAAAAGGTTGTAATAAGAAATCAGCTTAGATGATCAATAAGGATCAATTCCATGTATGATTTCCCAAGGTAAAGCATCCTCTCTGTTAACTCACACAGTCATTGACACAGTTTACTTGTCTTACTGGATACAGTCTTCTTAAAGCATTAATAGTTGTCTTGTTTGTACTTCAAAATATGGAACAGCCCTTTGCTTAATTATATATACTTGTACCTGAAGAGCTGTATATATATATATATATATGAATAATCAATGACATTTCTATTTTGCTGTCTGCATGAAGCCATGAACGTTTCTTCCTTTTTCTTTTTTGCTGGCAGAGCCAGAGTGTGAATAACAGCTACATAGCCAGAAATTGTTAGCAAAGGAAACAATACTGCAAGTCTACTCTGATGGGAATGAACTTCCTTGGGCTCTGCTGAGAATCAACAGAAAAGCTCATACCATCTCGTGGGATTAACATTCAACAAAAATACTACAGTTTTGTGGCATTTAGTAAAGCTTTTTGTCTTTATGTTTCGTAAGGGAAGATTGAACAATGGAAGAACAAAGATTTTCCTCACTGATGGGATCAGAAATTAGGAGTTAATAGAATTCTGTGTGGTCAACACAAAAGATTTTGAATTTAACCTTTTTTTTTGAATAGTAATATGATTTCATTAAATCAAGGGTGTGAAGAAGCTCACTACCCTGAGAGCAAGTCCAAACATACAAAAATCTGAAGATGAAAGGGGTTTGATTGGTATATCCACTTTTTGCAATATACCCGAATCAAAACTCGAAATCCCTTTCATGGCTACACGCCATCCTGTCCAAAAAGAAAACGAAAGCCCCAGAAACATAAGGGGGAGGAACAAGAAACGGCAGCACTAAACTCCCCCCATCCACTGTGCACAATGAGTAACAACTGAGCCTCCCCTTAAACAAAGTAAAAATCTCAGAACTCAAAATTTGCAGAAAAGATTCACAGCCCAAAAACATTGCTGGCAAATCGAGGAAAAGAGTGGAAGGAAAGCATAATCAGAAACGATTGTCACAGCCATACTCCACCATCAAGAAAACTACTTCAAGCTGCACGTCCCCTAAATTTTAGATCACACAGAAAGTGCTCTGACCAAGGCTCATTGCATTTTTGGCGAGAGTGTCGGCCTCCTGATTGAAGTAGTTTAAACCCAATGATTGAATTTAACTTAAGCTACAGATCTTTAGACTGGAACTTGATTGGAATTCAATTGAATTATATTTCTCAAATTTAAACCCAATTTAGAAAGATAACCAAACTTATTCAAACTTGACCTAAAACATATGTTTATCAAAACTTAGATGTACTTGATTTATATATTCATATTTGATACATAAATTAAATTATAACATATATAAAACTTAATTAGAATATGAACTTTTTGGACTTAAGTGATAAGAGAGTGATGAAATTGACATAGAGGATTGAAATTATGACAGTGAACCGAATTGAAAGAAATGTCCACGTTATGAGCGGTTTCAGCTTTGAGTAGGTACATTCGTCATGGTCAGCCTTTCATGCTTAGATATGTGCCCATTACAGGATAGGAAGTTGTGATGAATAGAAGATATGAATGAAGGATCGTATCTTCTCCGTGGTCCCTTAAGGCTAACACCCCAAGGCAATTCCTTGCGTTAGATGTCAGGATTTGGGGACAAGTTCAAGTATGACGGCTCTTGCAAGTGTAAAGACAAGTCAAGACTATCGCCTTCCGCTTAGAACATGACTTAACATACCAGTTTCAGAAAAGGGCCTTTTACTTTGCACAAGTCCTAGATTCTGTCCAGTCTTGCGCGGCGTTAATGCCACTTTCGGCTCCCGCGAAAGATTGTAAGGCCCAACGGCTTAGCCTGGAATCTCTGTTTAAATTTGTAGACTTGACACCGACCGCTAAAAACTGAACTCGTGTAAACACAACCACACTTTTAGCCATAACCAGCTGATGTCCCTTATTCCCAAGAGGGTAAAAAAAATCCCGTGGGCTTGGATTAAAAATCCTGGATGTTTAGTTCCCAAGAAAGGAAAGGAAACTGACTTCACTTTCAACTGCCGAATTGCTTTCCATTCTAGTTTTCAACATAAAAACCAGCCGATGCCCAAACTTGTGAAGATTCAAAGGAGTGCACGCCGTTTCTTTTGAGTAATTCCACCTGGTTTTTTCTAAGTCCAAGGCGCCAGCTTAGACTTTCGAAAAAAAAAAAACGTTTTCTTTAGGAGTATGTCAATATATTTAATTCTCAGATAAACAAAAAAGCACCATGGATGGGAAATTTGGACCCAGTCATTGAAAAGTCTTATATTAGTTGGATCATTTTTTAATAATATCTTGTAGAAAATCAATAAGTCAATCTTGAAATCAAACAAAATTAATAAAAATCATGAAGACTCTGAACATGAAAAAAAATTTATTATGCTTGATGCCCAATGTATTTTATTAATTTAAAATTTGATATTGGGCATGGGTTACTAAACCAAATATGTATTTATTTTTGGAAAGAAAACTGCTACTTTTAAAAACTAATAATAAGAGAAAACTCCAAATTTTTAAGTAATTCATGGTCGTATTGACAATTCAACAAAAACAAAATAATAATGTAAAATTTGAATGGTCAAAACCCTGAAGTCACATTTATGCAAAATTCAATAATAACTACTATTGAAATTGAAGGAGACTCCTTTTCTTTCTTCTTTATTTTTTTGTTTTATTTTATATCTGCCAGCTGAAACGCCACACAAATTCAGTGGGTTCAGCTGAAACACTACTAGTTGGGAACTTGGGTTCAGCTGGTTAGTCAGCACAATTTAAGTACCGAAGAGACAAAACTACCCTCACCGAAGGTCACTCCTGTCGAGGCAGGTTCGGTAAATTTTGAAAGTTGTATGGACGTTTTGGCAATTGTCGGGGACACCTCACCAACATAAATAGAAGAGAAGATCCTGACAGTTGTTCGAGTTGGAATTGTCTTTTTGACAAGAACAAGGACAGACTTTCAGAGAAAGGGCGATAGCTGAAAGCTTTTATCTAATCTCTCAAAAGCCCCGTAAGTCAATTGGATTCCTCTCTGTGTTTCATCCTAATTCCTCCATCTTATCTCTTTAAGTGTATATATGTGAAGGCTTTTGGAGTTTGATTTTACAGAGTTTATCTCTGGCTGTTTTATTTTTGTGAGAAGTTGCATTTGTAGCTTTCTTTCTGGGTAATTCAGATCTCTCTCAGCTTTGAACGTTAAGGCTTTTTAGCTTGTAAGTTTTTGGTGGGGTTTCTAACTTTTGTTGTTTGTATTGATCGGCAGTGGTGAAAAATGGCTTCAGATCCAAAGATGCACACTTTCGAAGAGGTCTCAAAGCACAACAAAACCGAAGACTGTTGGCTGATTATTTCTGGGAAGGTCAGATCTTTCGCTTTCTTTTATTAATCAGTGTCTTTGGTCTTTCTATGAAGATTTTTTAATTGCTTTTCCTATTTTAAAACTATGCTTTTTTTCGTCTATATTTCTGGGTTACGATTATTTTGGTTGATTATTGATGAATTATAAGTTTAGATATGTTAGTTAATAGTCAGATGATTTTAATTCTAGATTTAAGAATTTAGTTTTATGCCTGTTGGTTATTCTTCAAAATGGGGGACCAGGAAACTAAAAGTGGAAAAGAAAAGAAAGCAGTGGGGAAGGGTGGGGGGGAGGGGTAGAGAATTGAAGAGCTAACTTTGTTTTCATGGTAGGTAAAGCTTTCCCTTTTTGCTTTTATAGGAAGTACTCAGTTGCGGTTGGATTAGTATGTTAATGAATGCCTTAATTTTAGTGTCTGTTCTTGCAACTCTTGGTGCCACTAATGAGGTTGTGGTTGTCAGATAAATTGGGAGTTTTCAACTGGCAGAACTCCTGTTATCAGTTGAAGGAAAACAATTCCTTGTGGAAAATAGGAGGTCATTCTGAAGTTTGAATTAGTTGACTTCTTTTTTTTTTTGGAATGGTGAATTAATTGACTTAATAATAGTGATGTGAATATTCAAAAAAAAAAATAGTGATGTGAATTAATTAAATGAATGTACTGATGAAAACATTAAAATAGTTTTGGTTAATTAACTTGTGGTAGTTTACTTATTATATTTGATAACATCTGGTCTCAGTCATCAGCTGAAAACTGACGAATACAATGCTACCTTTAATTGACTACATTAGGTGAAAGTTTCAACTTTTGGGCAAATGCAGATGAACTTTTTACAATATATCAAACAATTTTTGCATGTAGAGAAAACTTTATTAACAAATATGTATCTTGTTCAATGTTTAAAGGTTAAATGAAAAATGTGACAAGAACAAGATATTTCGAGTTAAATTTTGTAGTATGCTACTGATTATAATTGTGATTTCCCTCTATATAGGTGTATGATGTAACTCCATTCATGGACGATCACCCAGGGGGCGATGAAGTTTTGCTGTCAGCAACCGGTAATTTTTTTTTACAATGTTTTATATTTGGTTCTTTAATTAATTTTACTGAATTAAGCCTGAATTTGGTAGTTACATCATGATATTTTTCAGGGAAGGATGCCACTAATGATTTCGAAGACGTGGGGCACAGTGATTCTGCAAGAGACATGATGGAAAAATACTACATAGGCGATATTGATTCAAAAACTGTTCCAGCTAAGCGCGTCTTCATTCCACCACAGCAAACCCCATACAATCCTGATAAGACCCCAGAGTTTATCATTAAGATCCTACAGTTTCTGGTACCCCTCTTGATCCTGGGCTTGGCTATTGCAGTACGTAACTTCACTAAGAAAGAGTAGCTTATTACTACACAGTTTCTTACCCGTTTTGAGGTGTGAATTGGTGGTTTCATCAGTTAGTTGAGAAGAACAGTCATATCATTTGTTTCATTTCCCTTTAACGTTTGTGTGTCTTAAATCCGATTAGTGGTTCATAATATGGTCCATTGTAGAAGACAATACCATATTGAGAAGAACCCATTTATGTCAGCCGGGAGACAAGAAGATGCTAAATTTTCTTGGAATTTATGAGCAGGACGATGTGTTTTTAAACCTTATGTACACCTAGTTTTTGTTCTTCAGCTCGAAATCAATGACTTTATATCTCCCTCCCTCTTCAAAATATATCTGATGATCTAACACACGAGTTGTACCATTTTATGGGCTGCTAAAAGAGCATTTTCACCTTGTGATAATGGTGGAAGTGCGTCGCAATGAATACCTGAATCACGTCTACAACAGTCTGAACATGGGGTTGTAAGCTTGCCTGCTTCCCGCCCTTTCTCTCTCATGATAAAATTATGAAAAATTGCAAGCCACGTCCCTAGATCTTGTCAAATGACAATGGGATTTGATGGCAACTTACAACCTGAATCTACCATCAACTTGGATTTCCAACGTAAGTCTCCAGTCTCCACCACCAACACCAAGTCCGACGCTCCATTCCGAGCCTCTAAATCCAAAGGTACGGTACAAAAGGCTAGCGATCTTTTTAAAACCATTCCATGCAAGATGCTAAAAAATCATGAGGTACACAGAAAGGGAAATTTGATGGAATCACATGATCAATGTCTTAATATTTCTCTTGCAGTATGGTACAGTTTTTGGAATTACGGGCTCTGTCTACCTGCCTTTACACAGAAATGATCATGGATATCTTCCTATCACGTATGCTAAAATGGAGCAATGGAATGCAGATTTATCTACTCATTTTTCAGCTATTGCCACTGCCTACTTAGCCTTGAGAGTGAGCAGTGATAAAATAAGCAAATATAACTCATCACAGACAGCATTTCAAGCGATGCATTAAAAAGGAGACTTGAGATACCCATAGAACCCAGGTTCAAGAAAGAAATGAAGCACATAAATTTAGTAGACAAAGTGGCAATGATCAAAAGGATGACTCTATCTTGTCATGAAGAGTTACCACCAAATCATGCGCATCATCTAGGAGTTTCCATACATCAAGTTGCCCAGCCATGCCATTGCACTCCCTTAAAATCTCATCCATGCTGCTGTACTTCTCTATGATCAATTTCCTTCTCTGCAACACTGAAGCTGCAATTGCATAAAGCAATAAATCATCTGTTGGGGGCGCCCTCTGTCTTATCCTGCTCCAGGCAGACTTCCCAATCCCAGCTCTAATGGCTGCTTGATCTGCCCACATTACCTCCCAAAGGCAAATTGTCTGTTCAAATGCCAATTCCCTCCTAAACAGTACCACCACCATCCTATAAACAAAAAAGCAATCCTCAGCCTGGAGCTTCTCCAAATGCCTGTAGAGATGAGAGTCTTTACATTTGATTATCTTGGAAACAATATTAAGTTGCCTTTTTATCCCGACCTCATCGAGCCTAAAATTATGTCGAGCTTTCTTCATGAAACCTACAAAACACCAGAAAGCCTCGTAATCCTCTGGGATGACTGAAATTATTGGAGAAAGGAGATCACTCATGCCCTGGCAGTAGCCAATTTCGGGGTCGTAAAGTGCATAAGCTTCAAGGATAGCAACCAAACGTGCAGCATGGAAAATTCTGCAGGGGTCCAGGTGATCATAATCCTTTAACCCAACAGCCTCAGCTGAACGACGTGCCCTCCCCTCTGATACTGCAGACTGAGAGGCAGAGTATGGCATCCATTCAGCATTTGCACGCACTGCATCTAGGCGAATGATCCGCTGCCAGGTGGAAAAATCTTCAGTTGCACGTAGTTTTGACAGGCCTTCAGTGCTTGAGGGAGAAACATTCCTTTTTGAAGACACGTCAGGATCATTTTCCTCCCTGCCTTCTGAAGAGGGGGAATCCTGAATCACTTCAGCGTCTTCTGAAGAGTCAGAGTCCGATGACTCACTGTTCAGCGCTGACACATCAGCATTTGTTATTCTTCTTGAACTATCATCTCCTTCCAACAATGTACTGGATGGTTCATCTGAGTACTCAGCATCCGGGCTCCTTTCCTCACTAGAGAGAGATTCTCTCGCACTAACCACGTCTTCAGAGCCAGATGTGTCTGTCTCCTGAATAAGACTACCACCATCTCCATTTTGACAAGTTCCACCAATTTCAGTCAACTTAAAACTCCCACCGCTGTGTTTTAGGAGCCGGCGGCACTCCCTGCGGAGTTTTTCATATTCCTTCCTGCATCAACAGATTGACAAAAAATGAAGCAAAAAACCAAAGAGATAATTCTTGGTAACAATCAACTTATATAGCTAAAGGGAATGATAAATTAAAAAACGCGAGGAAGAGAATGGAAATTTTACCTTTTCTGAGTTTTAACAGCATCTCTTTCTTCTTTGGTACTGTTTAAGTCATAGCTGTAGCAGAAGAAAAGAAAAAAATGTCTCGATAAGAGATGGGAAACCCATAGCTTGAGATTAGCTAAGATATTTCACTGCACACATTTCCCGGACAACTGTTATTCCATGAAAAGTTAGATACTTTCCATGATGTGTTGGCTTGAGGGAGGAAAAGAACAACAATAGCAGCAGCAGTGACAACAATAACAACAATCGTAACACAGGTTCACTACACTTACACTCCAAGGAGGAAGGGCCAAACCTCAGCCCTAATACTTGGATCAACACCCTGCATCAGAGGTGTACAAGATTAAGCATCCCAATTACAAGAAAACAAATGCAAGAGAAAATTAATAATTTAACTACACTGGTAACTCACTCTACTGCGAACTTTCTTCAAGAACTTGACCCCACCATCCCTTAGTCTACCATCAGATGCAAACAAACTTTTCCACTGCTGAGGCGAAAGGGCGTGTTTCTTTCTCCGGCGAGACCAGGGAGATTTGAGTCTACCACTGAAAAAAAAAGGCAAAATTTACAATCAGAAAATGAGGAGCTAATGATAATATGACAAGAATATATGATTTTATAAACACTGAGGGGAAGAAAACCAAGTTCTAACAGCAAATATCTTAGCACCTAAGTCCACAATAAAGAGAACAAATTTGTAGGTACTAAGGCATTCCTTTCATATAATGAGCTTTGGGGAAAGATAAATCATCATTGAGTTTGCCAAAAAGGGAGGTTGAGTTGTTTCAGAAATCATCATCGCATCACTAGCCTGTCTACTCCTCCCTCATCAAGCTTACGCCAGACACCAATCACATGAGGAAAGAGTACGGGCTTACACCAATTGAGATCCACCAGAATTATAAGATTTGTGTTTCAATTTTATTTTTCTTAGGAGGTCGGTCAAATTACGGAATATAACTTAAATATGAAATTTTGCATCAGCTCCAATATATTAATCCTGACAGATAAACCTGTCTGATAAACTTCTGTAACAAGAGCTTCAAATAAGCATGGGTGGGTGTTCAAGGACCATTATAATCAATCCCCAAAAGTTTTCAACTTTTAAACTGTAAAAACAAAATTAGAGTTGGAAGATTTGAAGAGAGGAGAGAAACGGACTCTTCTTCCGGATACACTTCCCATTAGTATTCCAACTTTCAAAATCATAACTTCCTACTCTTGATTGAAAAAAGAAGTAAAAGAATTTGATTTCACATCACGATTTAAAGTTTTTCCAAAATCTCTCTATCCCATTTGATTTTGAGTGTTAAATTCAAATATTTCAACTTTAAAAAGGCTATTAACATAGTAATGACTAATATCCTGGCAGATTGAAACAATCTAAACACGGAATTAGTCAACGAAAAAAGAGAAAGAAAAATCGCTAAGGCACATTAACAGAGATCCAACAAATAGGTAGAACAAAGTAAATATTAGTAGGATTTGAAATAAACAAGCAAATAATGGAGCAATAATGACTCAAAATTCTATGACAGAAGAAATAGAAAACCTAATTAACAGGAAAAATTCAAAGGAAGCAGAAAGAATCGAAATGTAAGCAAAGAGGAAGAAGTGAAGCAACCAAGGAAACAAGTGGCTTTCAACTTTAAAGAAAAAAAGGAAAAAAAATCTGAGAGTAGAGATCGGGATCTGAATCAAAAATCTAAAAGAGATTAGTGAAAATGAGTTAAGTGTTTTAGGAAAAGACGAAGAAGACTCACCGATCAGAGGAAGAACAAGAAGCTGGTGAAGAAGAAGTAACAACGAAAAGAACCGAACGCAAATGAATCCACGACGATGACGAAGACGACGAAGAGGATGATGATGAGGGTGAGTTGGGAGATGAAGACGAAGTCTGACTTCGTCTAAGAGCTCTCATCTATTAGAATTTGAATTTTATCAACTACACTCACTACGTATCGTTACTAGGGTTTTCAGAGAGTTTGTTATCGTTTGGCATTGATCGATCAGTTTTTTTGGATTTTTTTACCTACTGCTGTTGTAGAAAATGGCAGCGAAGAGAACAAGGCCGGCAAGGGCGGTGACGGCGACGGCAGTTTTGGAAGGCGGCGTCGCCACAGCCGACCAGAATCTGCCGCCTCCGCCGCCGCCAAAGTGGGGGATTCCGGTGGGGCTGTTGTTGCCAGAGGGGACCATGGAAGTTTTTGAAGTGAATGAAGCCCAAACTGAAATGCCCGAACTACCCCTTGCTTTTCTTAAGACCTTCTTCTTCTCCTCCTTCCTCTGAGTTTCTTCTTTTTTCTTTCTTTTTGCTTTGTTCGTTGCTTGCCTTCTCAAAGCTGAGCCCCCAACTGAAAACCAACTGCTTCTGTTTCTACTTGTTCTGCTTTGGTTTCTGGTTTTGGTTTTGGTTTCTTTCTATTTTAAAAAACTTTTCTTTTCTTTTTAACTTTGGCCCAATCAATTGCCGAAGTCTTTTTCTTTTGTCTCGCTCTAGACTCGACTCCACAGATCGTCCCTATTCTCTATTCGTCTTTCCTAGAGCTTTTTTTGAGAGAGAAAAAGAGGCCTCATCTCGAGTTAAAGATGGCAGATTCTATTTCTACGCCTACCCTTCATTTCTAGTGTTTTTACCCTTTGCTTTCCGCTGTTAGGTCGCTGTCCCTTTTCTTTTCTTTTCTTTTCTTTTTTGAGCTCGTATTTGACCTTTCTCCAAAAACCAATCAAACACAAAATCTTGTGATTGAAAAGCAATATCACCATTTTGTTTTACATCTCGTTGAGTAATTTTGCCAAGTCAAAGATATTTTACCCCACTAACAATCCAAGCTTCTGCTTATAACCTACGCCTTTTCACGAGGATTAATTAAATCTACTACGTGATTTTTTATTTTCTATTTAAATTTTTTCAAAATATAAAAAAAAATCTTATTTATTATTAAGATAAAAATCCGTGATATATTTTGTATATCTTGATTTTAAATTTAAAAGGAATATTATGTGATTTTTTTAAATATATTACTAATAACATTCTTTATTAATATATCACTATAGAGTTTTTCTTGGAATGAGGGTTTAACATGTAGAGGATGGTTCAGGTGTTCACAACCTCCCATGCAACACATACGAGTGTTTTACCTACTTGCAATTTTTTTTTCTATTTTTCAGATTGTTCACATCACATGTGTGTATGCATGTGAATAATAAACAGAATTAGGTGAGATTTGTGTTAGAATTAGTCGTAATATTTATTATTTAGTATCATATATCAATCCTTGAGAGGGAAAATGGAGAAACAAAAAGAAGAAAAAAATAGGGGCACAAAACAAAATTGAGAATGAAAGGTCTGATTGTGAAGCTCATGTCCTGGCATTTGGGGATTTGGAGTATCTGAGAGGCAGAGGTTGTGGCGAAAGAGGGCCAGAGGCATGCACCAATTGTACCCCGCATAGATTGCTACATTTCATAGGTTAATGTTTACTACATGCGAGTGCAAGGCAAGGAAACAGTAAAAAGTTCACCAAACATCTGGTGACTTTCTTTCTTGTTGAGTGGCTGAGTGCTATTTCGTTGCCCTCCTGCTTTTTCCATTATTAAGAAGGGCCTGTGCAACTTTTTCTTTACTTTGCACACAAATTTTAAACAACCCACCCCAGCAAAGTGCAGGCTAAGCTTGATTTGTTTGAAACTTTTGCTTACAATTCAAGTTTGCACTGTGGTTAATTATCTTCCTAAAGAGTAACAGTACCACGTTCTTAAGAAAAATGGTGATCTCGTTGAAGCATGCTCCTCCCTCAAAGAATTGAAGTCAAGCAGGGTGCTTCTCATCAGAAATCTGTTTGTGTGGCAGAAAGCAGAAACCTTTTCCCGATGAGAATTTGGGTCAAATTTAGTCAAAATCAAACTTGATTTAGACGTTGATCATGATTCTGTCCTAATTGTGGATGTCAATCAAAAGATAAATAAATTCAAAAGAAAGAAAAGCTTTTGATTTCATCAAGCAAGTCTATGTGTGGGGACTCGAAGGGGCCTGAAACACATTAGGCCATCAGCAGAGTGGGACATGTCAAAGCAACCTGGCTGCACTGCTTATTGCAACCTGGCTGCACTGCTTATTGCAACCTGGCTGCAAGTTATGAAAAACATTGTTCACTTGTTCAATTGTTTACTCCTTGCCTAGCCAAAAAAGGATGAAGAAAGACATAAAAATCAACATTATCTTAGCTTTTAATCATAATTCAATAAAAAGTTCAGAAAAAAAAAGAAAAACCCAAAGCTTTGGAAGACTTCTTAGGACTGATGAGGCAGTGGGGAAGCACAAAAGCAAAGGATACGGTTCCTATCCCAAAGACTGCTAATGTATCTTTCACAATCACCATGAAATACGGGGAGAAATCAAAGTTAAGACCAATGGGTCAACAAAATGGGGCGCCGTGTTTATAGACACATGGTAAAAGAAAAAAAAGAGAAAAAGGAGAAGAAAGGGGGGGGCGCTTAGAAAAAATAAAGAAATTGTGGATGCTGGAAAAGGTCTGCAAGAGCCGAGCGTTGTTACCATGGAAGGAAAGTGGAAGGACCATGACCGAGAGACGAAGACAAGGCCCGTTTGCATGGGTAGGGTAGGGTAGGGTAGGGTACCATTCCCTTTGATTTTTTTTATACAGATCAACGTGGACCGGATATATATATTTGGTTTAGGTCCTTTCTGCCCAACAATTGGAAGTAACTTCCTAAACATAATCATAGGATTTAAAAGTCTGAATATAGCCAATTTGTGGAGCTGCGTTTAATTTACTTTAATATATTTAAAGATAAAATTTAGGCTTGTAGAAATGGACAAATATAGTACCCACTTGAGGTCTTTACAAATTGGAAAATGGCTCAACAAGCCGACGTACTTCAGTCTAGTTTAGGCCTCCCCCCTCCCCGCTTTTGTCTCTCTCTCTCTCTCTCTCTCCCCTTCTTTTCGCCTGTAAATTTTTATGCAAGAAGCTGTGCTTGTACGAATGAATAAATTATTTGTCTTTTAAATCACGTCTAAATCCAATATACCATTGAATTTTGGATATCCGGGGAAGATATTCAATGAGTATTCATAATTGTCAAATTGGCTTGTTCATGACGCTTAAGGATTAAATTAAGGATATTTAGCGTTTAGCTAAACGTGATCAAAGTCTTAACGACCTGATTTATGTGATTACAACTTTGACTTCTTCCACTGTAATCATGATCTATTTTCTCTTCTTAAACATTAATCCTTGATAGATTTGATTTTGTAAGCAAGTTAGGTACCCTTGGAGTAGGTTACCTGAACATCACAAAAGACCATGTGCCCAGTTTCTCTTTCATTCTCTTCACCATCCAGATGAACCCAAAAATGACGAGGATCCATGAAAAAGATGATTTGACAGCAAGCTGCCATAGCAAAATGAACAACTTTGATGAGGGAAGTGGGAACCAAATAGATCAATTCACTGGCATGGAGGGCCACTTTTTTCATTTTTTTCCTACATGCATGGGGAGATCAACTTTTACATGAATGCTGGCCCCTGCTGCTAGCATGCTGAACCTTTTCAAATACCTACCACAATAATGAAAGGGATTAAAGAGGTACAGAAGTGAGCTCTGTCTCCCATGGGGACAGTGACAACACGCCAAGCCCCAAGGGCCAAAGGGGTGTGTCTCAATGAAGTCTTGTCCCTGAGAAATCAGTTGTGTTACCATCATAAAAGATGAAGCCTTAATTTTGTAGAAAGATGCGCTCAAGTATGCTCATTAACCATGCTAGAGGAAGTTAGTTTTGCTTTTACACCAATTTTAATGATCAGTTCTTTCCATTTGACCTGATCTATTTTAGGACCAACATTCGAGAGTGACTGACAACAAAATCACATTGCTTAACAATCATATCCTTCTCGATTTAGTTTCTTGAGAAATGAAAATTTTTTACCCTTGGCACCGGTTTCTTCGCAGCTATGCATTGAAGTTTGATACCATGGGCACAAGGTTAGGTTTCTGTTTATAAAAAGGATTATCCTCTTGGGCTGAGCATCCATTGCTTCAAAGCCAAGACAAGTTTTGAGGACTCAGATGCAAGTTTGGAAACCCCAAGCCAATTTAATTTGCAAGAAAGGGGAAGATACCAAACCCCATACCAATACCATCACTCAAATACAGAAATAAATAATGTGCCCAATATAAAAAAAAAAAAACCAAACAAATAATCTGCGATAGGAACCGATGGTCAGAAGGAAGGCTTTCCTAATTTTTCAGTCATGGCACGAGCGCTTCAGCCGGCAATCAGCATCAGAACTTGTAATTTAATTATGGCGAAGAGTAATTTATAATTGCTGCCTAAGGGGCTGCAGAATCAATGAAGCATAATCCTTGCCTGATTCTTTCCCACCAAACTTGAACAAAAACCATCCATTCAAAGAAGCACATATTCTGCTATTTTTAGAATTGCTGGTTGAAAAGCTAAAAAGGGGAACGAGAGTCAAGTTGGAAGTCTTTTATCAGTTGTTCCTATTTACTTTTATCATGGACGATTCCTCAGCAGGGATTGATTTGATTCATGGCTTGTCTGGTCATGATTGTTCATGATTGTCCCATGACGAATTCTGGTACCACCTACTTCACGCAATAACCCCATCCAGAGTGCTTTGCTCAGTCTCATTGTTCAATCTTCCTGCTCATATAAATATATTAAGTTATTACCCCAGGAATATAACTATGGTGCTTCCGTTCTGTTGCCAACACAGGTTCAATTCACTACCTAACTGCTCCACTTATGTTCATATACAGTAACGTTCTGCTCTCATTCGTCACCTTTCGAATTGACTGATAGAAAAGGATTATCAAATACATTTTCCCACAACAACAATCTACTTTTCTAACAGGAAATGTGCTTTTCTTCTGCAGGATGTCTTCCTGTTTGTTTGTTCGTTTGTTTTAATTCAAAAGTCAATAAAATCACCTCCAGATGATTTTTTTTTTCCATTTTTTGACCTCAAAATGTGTCTCATACACACCGCTTATTATTTGCAAGATGAACACTGAACTCTAAATAATTATCACAGTATGATTACTTTCATCACTCTGTCGCAGTTGATACAAGGATGGGACATATAAAGACCTACATTTTATTAAGATCGAATGTTCTCCTCACGAGAAAGAAAAGGCTTGCCAGTCCGTAACTATCATCAAGGTTACAAACTCCAGTAGAACATCCACTGATCAGACCACAATGGTCCAATTTAACATACTCAAGTATGCAATGAGAAGCAACTCGGATAAACTATAGTCTATAGGCACACAACTTATAGCTTGGAGGCTGCATCTTTGTCCAGAAACCAGACCAACTCCCCTTCTGGAGAAACCGTCTGAACAGGCAGCGGCTCAGAAGTTTGACCATTTCCCAATGCAGTATGCACTGGACCTGCTTTACCAGCACCACACACCACAAGTGCAATGTGAGCAGATGAATTGATAACAGGGAAAGTAAAGGTAATTCTCTCTGGAGGCGGTTTTGGTGAGTCCTTAATGAAGGTAACCCACTTTTCATTCTCCCTGACCAGACGGTGGCCAGGAAAGAGAGAAGCCACATGTCCATCTGGTCCCATTCCCAGAAGCATGAGATCAAATTTTGGAAACCCCGTAGCTGCTGAGACAACTAATCACCCACTGTTAACCAAATGCTTGGGCAGGTCTCATAGTCTCAGCTGCACCTTCAGCAGACAGTGCATCTTGATGGAATAGACATTACCAGGGAGAATTGGTACCTGCAGGAGAGAACACCACGTTTAACTTGATTGCGTTGGGAAAATGGGATATCAACATCACCATAAAACCTGCATTGGCAGTTCACATGGCTAATTACTAGACTTTGATTTCATCTTGCACTGACCAAAAGAATTTACCAGCCCAGTACCAAGTGAAATTTCAATTATGATGCAGCATAAAATGGTAGCTTGCTAGCAGTCAAAATATTAAACAATATCGAGTTGCCAAAACCATAATGTATTTTAAACATTAATTTGGCTAAGTTAAAAACCAGAAAACAATCAAATATATCCTAGGTTGTAAATCCCGAGCATATTTGGACCTTCCCATTCATACTGAATTGCCCAATTGTACATCAAAAATAGCAAAACAATTAGCGTTTTGCTTCAAAATTTTAGAGTAGTCTAAACTAAAAATGCCATACTAACAATGCAAAGACTAAAAGCCTTTTCATATCCATCACAGTAACAGAATTTAGTACTAATAATTAACCCCAAAGCAAATTTATCATCATTTCAGCAGTGAAAAAACAATAAATTAGAAACATTATATTCTTCGATTATACCTTGAGAGAAACCCATCAAACGCTAGCTTATAGTTACTGTCATCATGATCCTTAGGACAACACCTCTCATCTACCCAGAAACGTGCCAGGCTGACCAATCCACCGAATCAATATATGGGGGTTCTACCAGTTTCCTGAACGATCAATTTCCCATATCATCAATCCATACAGATATTAACTCAAAATTCAATAAATTTTGAAAAGCAGTAACTAGAAAACGCATAAGATTGTGACATTCAGTAAAGAAGCCAACTACTTCAAGAAAAATAAATCGAACAAAGAAATAAAATGGTAAAAATTAAGTAAAAAATGGAAGGAAATTTTAAGACCTGAGAGACTTGATGAGAGAACCACCAGATAAAACGACAGTAAAAGTGCGTTTCTCTTTGGAGAGCTTATCAGCTAGATCGGCGGTGTATTTAGCAAGCGACACCGACAGATCCTCCTCAGAAACGAAAACCTCCACCTTTCCTTTCCCTTTCTCCGTCGTGGTCCCCGCCATGGACGCCTTGGCTCTCCAACAAAATCTCCCGGGACCCGAAACACCTCTATCCCAGTCGAGAAAACGAGCGTCTTAGGCGTCACGCGCTGCGGAGAATACGAGGCGTGGAAAGGAATGCGAGGTAATCTGCCAAGAGACGGCGGTGAGAAGAGTGTGCGAAGTGGAGTGGAAAGTTGAAGAGGCGAAGATGCCATGCGCAGTGCGCACTTCCAGCTTATAACGGACGCGACGAGCGTGGACCAGACTGAGTTAACCTTTTTATGGGATTCTTTGAAAGAGCAGTGGATTTGGTCTACTTGGTTTGTGATCCAGGCAAAACTGGCTTTAGTGAAATGGTGAGCTGGAGTTACTAACGATGTGGGGAAGGCCTTCGTTAGACACGTGGGTCAGTTTGAGTTAAGGCTGTTTGGTTGGAACATCATTAATCTTGGCTTTAGACTTCTAGTTTTCTCTGTCCATACTCCATAGTTCATACCAAATGGTCCTAATGCAATACTACAAATAGGAGTGGGCAACGGTCAGTTGGAGCCGTCCAACCGACTGCAGCCACGGTTATTGTTAACCGTCGGTTGGTCAACGGCCGACTTGTCGGTTGATCGGCTCGGTCGTCGGAGGAATCCTTTCCCCCGAACCGACTGAGAAATCGAGCCCCCCGGCTACCCCGGCTATCTATGGCTCGCCCCCTACTATTTCCCCCGACCCCCTCCCCCCATCCTGATTGTTGTGTTGATTTGAATGATTTCCCTTGGCCAGCCAGTCCCCCTCCCAGGCTCCAACCCCCCCCCCCCGACGGACCCGACTTGATTCCCTCGGCCCCCTTCCCACGAGTCCCGATTCCCCCCTGCCCGCTCTCCACAAGTCTCGATTCCCCCCCTGCCGGCCTGGGCCTCCCCCCTCCTAGTCTCCCACGAGTCATTTTAGCCATTAATCTTTAACCATTTTAGCCCATAAATCATAGTTCAATTCAATTCATTTTAGCCCAAGTCAACTTAAGTCAACCCATTGATCTCATCATCAAAAACCGATCGAAACTGACTTTCTAAAAAACCGACTGAAATCGACTTTATATCATTGCAGTCAGTTATATCCTAAAAATTTTTGATCGGTTTTGACGAAAAACCGACCGAAACCGACCCATGCACACCCCTAACTACAAAGATGTCAGTTTCTTTTTTAACAACCAACTTGGAATTTCTTTTAAGTATACTACTACAAAATTAAGTCTTGGTCAAAGGTTGTCTTGCCAATAACCATCTATAGCCGGCCAAGTTTTCGTTCTCACCATTGTTTAACGAGTCCTCCTGCCTCTACTGAGTCTGTCAATTTCTCTTTGAAACTAACTATGCCCATCGGACGAGCATTTGAAACTGCATCTGTAAGCTTGCTGCTTAACAAATTTTTCACTCAAGATGTGATAGATTACTTAATGAAGTGGAACATCAATAAGTCTCTGTTACAAAAAGTTGAATTAATCATGCCGAGGAGATGCAATTCAATGACCCAAATGTCAGGACTTGGCTGGAGGAGGTCAAAGATGTAACATAGGATGCAGAGGACATAATTGATGCGATAGATACCGACGTTCTTGAATCATGTAGTAGCACCAGCAAGGTAACTATTCGCTTAGAATTGGTAAATGCTAGTGATTCAGTCAAGGAAGGGATAGATTTTAAGATGAAGGATATAGCTGCTGCCATCAATCCTTTTAAACAGCGTTTAGAGTCAAGAATGAACACTACTGCAGGAAGGCTTGAAGATATTGTTAGACAACAAGGTATTCTCAATCTGAAAGAAGATGTAGAAGTTAAATGGTCTTAGATTATAGGAAGAACACCAACAACTCCCATGTTTGATGAATCATGTGTTTTTGGGAGAGACTCTGATGAGGACAAGACCATGAAATTGCTGAAATCTGGACATGGAACTGGGGATAAGGTTCGTGTTATCCCTATAGTTGGCTTAGGGGGCATTGGCAAAACAACTCTGGTCTGAATCGTTTATGGTGAGAAGATGGCGAAGCATCGCTTTGATTTGAAAGCTTGGGCTTGTGTAGCAGATGAATTTGATGCGAAGAGGATCACAAGAACGCTTGTTGAGTCAATTACTAGAAAGACCTGTAATGACAAGAATTTGGATTTACTTCAAGAGAAGCTGACAAATTTGTTAAAGGGAAAGAAATTTTTAGTTGTGTTAGATGATGCTTGGAACGAAGTTTATGAGAATTGGGATGAACTGAAGATTCTTTTAGCCAAGGGTGCAGCAGGGAGTAGAATTATGGTAACAACACGCAGTGAAAAAGTTGCATCAATACTGGGCACCCTACCAATACACTATTGGGAGGAGTTGTCTAAAGAAGATTGTATGTCATTGTTTGAGCAAATTGTGTTTCCAAATGGAATTCAGATGCTTATCCAAAGCTGAAAGATATTGGTGAGAAACGACTATCGAAGTGTAGAGGCTTTCCTTTGGCACTTAAGGCACTTGGGGGCCTTTTGCGCTCTGCATTTGATGGCAGTCAGTGGGAGAGGATCTTGCGTAGCAAGATGTGGAAATTGCCAGATAATACAATTCTTCCAGCTCTAGGGTTGAGTTATCATCATCTGCCTGTGCATCTGAAAGAATTCTTTGCTTATTGTTCAATATTTCCGTAGGACTTTGAGTTTGGCAAAGACAGGTTAGTCCTGTTATGGATGGCAGAGGGTTTCATCCAGCAGCCAGAAGAGGGTGAAAGCATGGAAGCTGTGGGTCTGATATTTTTCTGCTTTAGTATATAGCTTTCTTTCAACACGTGCTGGTTATAAATCATGATTTGTGATGCATGATCTCATCCAAGATCTAGCACAGTCTGTTTCAGGAAAAACATGGCTTAGGTTTGAAGACATGGATTTTGGCAAGGGTAAGCATGTTCCAGTGAAAACTCATCACTTGTCATACACTCGTGGATCCAATGATACCTTCCAAAAATTTGAGCCCTTAAGCAAAGTCAGACTATCTACGGACCTTTTTACCTTTAGTTCCTTTGTTTGGAGTTCATCAGAGCAATTTGAGTAACAAGGTACTGTAAGAAATTTTTCAGAACTTAAGATTGTTGAGACTGTTGTCCTTTAGTGGCTATGACAGAACTAAGTTACCAGATTTCATCAATGGTGTGAGACGTCTTCGTTTCCTTATAGCCAGATCAAAGAATTATCTAAGTCCACAAACAGTCTCTACAACTTGCAGACATTGATATTAACAAATTGTCATTCCCTTGGGACACTGCCAACGGACATGGGAAGCCTAACTAGCTTACGACGTCTTGACATTCGTGAAACTAGTCTAGAAAAGATGCCGCAGCGATTGGGAAGGTTATCGTACCTCCAAATGTTATCCAATTTTGTTGCGGAGACAGGTAACAGCTAGGGATGAGAGATTGAAAACCTGTCTAATCCCCGTGGAACACTTACCATTTCTGGGTTGCACAACGTGACTAACATCAAGGACGCAATTCAGTCAAAGTTGAAGACTAAGAAGAACCTTGATGAATTTGTTTTAGAGTGGAGCTATAACAGCAATGAGTCACGATATGAAACAGTTGAAACAGATGTGTTTGATGTGTTAGAAGCTCGTGAAAGCTTGCAAAAGCTCACAATAAATTATTATGGTGGTAAAGAATTTCCACGTTGGTTGGGGGATCGTTCATTCACGAACATGGCCTGCTTGCATCTTTATGGTTGTAAAAAGTGCACTTTGTTACCATCTCTTCGCCAGTTACTTTCTCTCAGAGATCTCAGCATTGCAGGAATGGATGGTATAAAGCATGTGGGGCTGAGTTTTTAGGGGATGCTAATCCTTCAATCAAGCCTTTTCCACTGTTGGAGATTCTGAAGTTCGAGAACATGAAAGAATGGGAGGAATGGTCCTTCGAGAATAGAGTAGAAGCTTTTCCTTGCCTTCGCCAACCGTCTATTCTCAGGTGTCCTATATTGAAGAAATTCTCATACAGATTTCCTTCCTTGGAAAAACTGAAAGTTCGAAAGTGTGAGGCTCTTGAATCTTTTACAGGCCTTTCTCAACACGAGAATTTAGAATCTGACGAATTCCCTTGCCTCAGGTCGCTTACTCTTGTGTGTTGTACTAAGCTAATTGAACTGCCCAAGTTCCTTCTTTCACTGGGAGGATTAAAGATAGATGGTTGTTTGGAATTGGGAGCATTTCCAAGGCTTGTAAACCTTCAGAAATTAGAATTCTTGGATTCAAATGCCAAGCTTGTCGGGAGTATAGTTGACTTCAGTTCGCTGACCTTTCGGCATAAAAGACTAATTTCATTTGTCAAATGCCTACATGAATGTATAATTAAACAATTTGTAAAACTTGTAGATTCGAAGATTGCTGGTTGTGGTGATCTTGAAGGTTTGTCAAATGAACTGGTGGGATTAAAACCCCTTGCTTCACTTCAACATTTGACAATCTGCCACTGCCCTAAACTTGTTGCTTTACTGGATGAAGAAATAAAGTTGCTGCCAGAGCTACAACTTTTAGATTTGAGTTATTTTGATAACTTGAAAAAACTGCCTTGTGAGCTTCAAAAGTTTAATTCTTTCCGGGATTTGAGAGTTGACTGGTGTCCAAAGCTTGAGTCGTTTCCAGAACAGGGGTTGCCAGGTATGCTTCAACTACTTGTCATCCGAGATTGTGGAGCTTTGAAGACTCTTCCTAACATGATGCTGCAGAACAATAAAGCCCTTGAGTACTTGGAGATTCACAAGTGTTCTTCTCTCACATCACTTCTTGAGCAAGGCGATTTACCTACCACGCTGAAGCATGTCAAAATTTACTACTGCAAGAATCTAGCATCCCTGCCTGATGGAATAATGTGTAAAGACAAATTGACTCTTGAGTACCTAGAGATTGACAACTGTTTCCCTTTGAGCTCCTTTCAAGAATAAACTAAATGAACATTCAAGAAAAACTGTTACATTTAGGATGGTGGTACCTCTTTCTTTCATTTCATGTTTTCTTGTTGATCTCAAGCATAAGCTTCAAAATACTGCAATCAGGCCTTGCCTGGTTAGCTAGTAGCATCAACCAAAAACACGTTTAAGGGAGTTTACAATTCCGCAGGTATGAACATTTTGTTGGAAAACTTTTCAAGTACTAATTGTCCATTTTCTATCAGTACTTCTCTTGCTACTGAAGTCGTGGCAGGTTTTTCAGTTCCAGTTTCTGGAGCAGCTCACTTTGTCAGAAGATTGTATTTGATTGTTTCCAGATTTTATGTCTCCACTCCTATTCACAATGGGAAGCTCATATTCCAGTTTTTCTGGGAGGATAAAGACATATGGCTCGAGCTCGGTGCTGAGTGTAGCCTATGTACTTGTTAAGGAAAGATCCTTCAAACAATTGTAAATCCATTTATGGTCTTTTTACATATCGAATGCAAAAGCAATACCCTTCTGAGACTTGTTATTAGATACAATCACACATGTATCCTCTCACCATATCATGTCTTGAGATGCAAAGTAGCTAACCAGGCATGAATTTTCTCAGTTGGCGCAAGTGATATACGACAGATCCAGTCTGAACAACTTAAAATTGTTGAAACAAGAAGAAAACGAGTAGTGTTTCTTCTTCCTCCTAGTCATGATACCAACTTCATGGAGGGATGGTATGGTTGATGTTAACAAATAAGCATAGATATACAAGACCATGATTATCATTTTACCCGAGTCATCATTCTTTTATTTCAGTTTTCACAAAAGCACATTGCTGTAAATTTATCATTTGATTCTTAATAGAAATTAAGGCTTCAGCCATTATATCAGCACATTATCTAGTAAGAGTCGTGACAAGATCCGAGTATTAATATTTTCAAAGTTTCTGATTACATAGTTTGATTAATTGTTGTTTATAAATTCCCAATGTATTGCATCTAATATTATCCATTTAGCTCATGACAGTTTAATGCTTGCTTGAGGAAATGATCATAAAGTCCCTTCTTTGTTAATTGTTCGTTTAGATCTCCAAAGCCCAACCATGCAAAAATACATTATTTATACCTCCATGCGATTAAGATTTTACCATTCTTCCCCATTCATTTTTTCCACTTGTTATCCAAGATTTTCATATAAATAATAACATTATTCATTTTTTTTTTAATTTTGTGAGCATGAAATAATAACTAATCCATTTTCAAAGTCGGATTGCTTTTAAATTATTTATGTTATTAGTTAAGATTTTATTTTTCTAAGCATCCCTAACATATTAATATTATGCATGCTTAACATATTAAATTATTTATGTTATTAGTTAAATTTTATTTTTTTTATGCATCTGTAACATATTAAATTATTTATGTTATAAATTGAAATTTTACTTTTTTTTTAAGATTCGTAACATATCATATTATATATTTGTAATTTATTAAATTATTTATATTATTAGTTAAAATTTTATTTTTCTAAACATTAAAATTTTGATTTCACTATTGAAATTTTATAATTTATGACTGAAAAGGTTTTTTTTTAGCCATTATAAAATTTTTACAACGTTTTTTTATTACCATTCGAAGTTTTATACTTAATAAAGGGCAAGTCGGTGGATGAAGGAATAAAAGATATTGCTATCCCTATTCCTGTTTCCTGTCATTAGTCACCCCAAGTTTGCAATACAAGAAAAAAAAAAACCGTGTAACCAAACAATAGCCAAAAACCCTAGTCCATAATATCCACGTATATAATGAAACTGATAACGGAAAAGCTTTGAGAAGGATAGAGAGAGAGAGAGAGAGAGAGACAGAAACAGAAGCAGGGTTAGGAAAATGCAGATCTTCGTGAAAACCCTAACGGGGAAGACCATAACCCTAGAGGTCGAATCCAGCGACACTATCGACAACGTTAAGGCTAAGATCCAGGACAAGGAAGGTATACGCCTCTCTTTTCTTTCTCTCTCTCTTTTTTTTATCTTTTTTCATTTGGCCGCCTTTTTTTGTCTCCTACCTGTTTTAGGAAGGAAATCGGATGGTGAATGTGTTCGTTGATCATGAGGATTTGACGGTTTAGATTTGCCGGTTTAAATGTTGTCAGGTATCCCACCGGACCAGCAGAGATTGATCTTCGCCGGAAAGCAGCTTGAGGATGGCCGTACTCTTGCCGACTACAACATTCAGAAAGGTAATTACTCTTGAGCATCGGCCCTGTTGATTCTCGAGAAAGTTCATTACAATTTGAGAAAAGATACTATAAGTACTTTAAATTTATTTGTTTCTTGCTGACATGTGAATCAAAGCCACGGACTTGTTGAAAATTATGTTTGCTTGTTGAGCAAATGAGAGAAGTAGAGGAGAAGAAATTTATGGGAATCATTTGATCCAATTCAGTTAACTCTCATATATCTATATCGACTTTATTGTAAATTACTTGATAGTTTAATGGATCTCTATGAGGAAAAATAGCACTCATAATTAGGGGAGGGACTGGAATGTTGAATTCAAACCCTTTACCTTTTTATTTATGATCTGACATTTATTTTAGTTTGATTTGAATGTTTATGTGGAACTGCGCAGAGTCAACCTTGCATCTGGTTCTGAGGCTTCGTGGTGGCATTATTGAGCCTTCTTTGATGGCATTGGCTAGGAAGTACAACCAGGACAAGATGATCTGCCGCAAGTATGTCTGCACTTTTTATTGTCTCTATGGTTACTTCTTTAGTAGTTTACAAACTTTGTTTGAAATGAATCTTTATTGGAGCACTAGCATGTATGTTGAAAATGCATCTAGTTAGATCATCCCTTTTTTCTAAATAGGTACCTGCATCCTGCTGATTCTTGAAATCAGCATTTTTGTTCTCTTCTTTTGAAGTATCAAATTATTTTATGAGCCCCAAAAGCATGCCATACTGCTTAATATGAAATTGCATTTTTTGGTTTTCCTTTATAGAATGGGCATGCAATTAGTATTGAAAATTTTTTGTTCTCTATGTTGATACTGGAATTATTACCATTGACATATTTGCTGTAGGTGTTATGCTCGTCTGCACCCCCGTGCTGTGAACTGCAGGAAAAAGAAGTGTGGACATAGCAATCAGGTAAATCATCTATGTTGTCATCCTGTTGAATATGCATGAGCCAATGACTATCCAGATTTCATCATGTAAACTTCATCTGCTTTTTCTATTGCACCCAATTGACAATTAGTTCTTTGTGTTGACAGTTGAGGCCAAAGAAGAAGATCAAGTAGTTTGCAAAATTTGAGGGAGGAATTCTACGTTTGGTATTATTAGATTTCTGGATGTTTTGTTTGGACAATATAGTTCTAAATAACTGACATCTTGACTATCCCAAAGTTAGCTTTAATTTCATTAAGTTGAACCTCTTGTGGTGTATGTGAATTTGTTTGTCTTTGACAGTGAGTTTCTCATTTTTGATATAATGATGGTTTCATTCTCCTGTTTGTTTTATTACTGTGTTCTGCTCGGGGCCTTCCACCTAGAATTATGTTTTGGTGAAGAATAAAATACTCATGAAGCTGAAAAGGAATATTGGAACGTTTTTCCACTTCTGAAAGCAAGTTTTTTCAATGATTTTGTGCATGAACAACTTAGCAACTCTGCAAATATGATACATGGAATACTGTATGTTGTGCTTCATATACAATTTAATGTTCATTTGTAGGCTTCACGCCATTTCCTGCATTTCAGCTGCAAAATTGGTAACAGATGTTGCTCCAATCCTCCTCTCTTCTATTTGTTGGAAAGTTGTAGGATGGCAATCCTACTGCCACGGCCCTTTTAGTTGATGGAAATACCACTAATCAGCAGTTTCTGTGATTTGCACCCCAAAATGGTTCTTTTCTTTGGGGGTGCTTATGCACTTCGTCAAAATTACATTCCTCAATTGCACCCCATTGGATTTCTCCATGCCATAGATTCGATGCTGTAGTTCTAAACTGATTATTTTGTCTGGAAAATATTTTGGATCATCCTCCTTGGAGACTGCTGAGCTGCATAATCTAACTGAAGCAACTCATTTGAACTTAAGCGCCATCCAAGAGCACCCAAATTTTCTTGTGCTTGTTTCACTGATTTAACTCCAGGTATTGGAATGGTGCCTTTGCTGATGCACCAGTTTATTGCGACCTGCAAATGACATTTTATTTAGGTATATTGCATGCATATCCTGTTTAATGCTTAAGTTAATTAACATCAAAATTGAGGTTGGATCTCCGTATTTCTCTTCATGTTTGCAGTAAGAGAATCTTATCTTGACTCAAACTGAATACTATACAATCCAGTGATCTACTAACGTATAGTGTAGTTTCTATTTTACTATTAAAATAGAAACTTGGCCAAGTAACTTTGAACATGTCATTCTTGTCAGAGGACCAACCAAGCACCAAGTGATAAAAGTCCCGACACACAGATGCAACGGCAGGCCATCGAAGGAGGGAGTATGTATGTTCCAACAAACTCAATGCTTGTATTCTCCTTCGAGAGTGAGGCTAGGCCTAGATGTAAAACTACTTGGTGTTGGAGGATGTTTGGTGCTCTAGAAGAGAATACTTAAAAGATAAGGCCAAAGATCTAATAACACACTTAAGTTATTGTTAATGAGAACTTAAAAAGTTCTAATAGGCTGCTTAAATTTCTAAGGATGGAGTGCAACTTACAAATGAAATAGTTGCAAACAAAGTTCACATCAGAAGTACCTGAGGTACGGTTTTGCCCCGTTTTTCTGCAATTTCTCTTAAGGAAACCAGCAAGGGCTCCAGTCCTGGAAGAATTTGCTTAAATAGCAGGCCCCTGTTAAGAGGCGAAAACGCTTGTCATGAAATAAGCAGTCAACCAAGCACTGAGAAGATCCTTTAAATCTCTTTTACCTTATCTAAAAGTAACAAACAGTAGTATTTCTATTACCTAGGCCCACTTGGAAGCCTGGAAGGTGTATATTTTCCAGTAAGCATTCCAAGTCCCAGAGGACTATAAGAAATCAAGCGGATACCCAGAGAGTCACAAATATTCTTAATCTCCATCTGCTCTTCTCCCATGCTTAGCAGAGAAAATTGTACCTGAAATTGGGGTCATTCTGGATGTAAGCCTTAGTAGTAGCTACATGTTCAGGCATGGGATACATCAAAGTATTCTATTTTAGATAGATAGTCTGCCATTGAGGCTTAGCTTGGGTGGCCGTTTTGAGTACAAAATCTAAGAGATTGAACAGTAGTGCTCTCTTCTTGTACACAAACCAAAAATAGAAAAGTGCCCATATATCATCCATGCACTAAGCTTATTGACATCCATGATAAACTCAGCCATGTCCTCTATTAAGCAGGAATATGCTATTTGCAAGTAGCTACCATATTTATAGCTTCTTAACTGTTTCTACAAAATTTTGAATCAAATGAACAAAACGAAATAAAACCACAAGTTGAATCATGTTCTTCAGTGAAACGCTGAAACCCACTTATACATTTTTCTCTGTCATTTAACATCCTTGGAGTTGGGGTTTTGGAGAAGGGAGGCAGAATGAGCCCGGACACTCTTTATGCATGTGTTTAAATGTGGCTATCTTTAAATAGAGCTACTGTTGCTGGAGGCTTTAGGTAGTTGGGCATATGCATCCACTAGAAGCCATGGCCATCAAGCAGATTAGAAACTCCAAAACATAGGGTTGGAATAGAGAGAAAAGAAAAATCACAAAACCAGAGGTATGGCAGTAAGAGTGGGCCAAAAATGTGTGATTGTTTGAATTTGATGAAAACAAGAAACACAGGCACAAAAATTAAAGCAAGTGTAACTGTAGGGGCACTTGGTTTTAAAATAACACAAAGCAGGTGTGAGGGGAAACACGATATTTCAAGGATGCGGTGGTTCTTAGTTTTGCTACATGAAACACAAGCAAGTATAACCAAAACAAAATTCCTCTTAACATGAAAAGAATAGAAATATTTCTAAATTATCTATACCTGAGCTGAACGTAGAGGGACTCCTCTGGCTTTAAGGTAATCATAAATCTTTACAAGCTGTTTGGGTCCGTAATTGCTAACTCCAACAGCTTTAACTAAGCCCTGAAAATTTATATCAAGTAGATTTCAACCAGTGAACAACAACAAAAAAAATCATCCAAAAGACTACAGAAACAAACTAGCTATGATGCCAAAAAGATATTCTCAACTTTTGGTGGTTTAAGTTTGAATCTAGGACAAAATTTTCACATGCCAATGGAAAATGAATAACCTTGTTTCTAGCAAACTGCATGATAATAACCACTTTAAAAGTAATTAACGGCAACCTGCTCATACATTGCCACTAAACCACCCCAAAGAGCTAATTCTTGTGGGGGAGCATAGTTTGCAGTGGACCAGTGTAACTGTCCTATTCCAATTTGCTCAATCTGCATTCGATCCCTCGAGGCCCTGGAAAAATGTTCTTCATCAAATTTAATTATCATTACTACATGTCGGTGAATTGTGAGATAAACGAGGATCACTTATATAAAAGCAATAGAATAGCAAACCTGCAAGCTTGAACAAATTGACCTGGTGTTAGACGCCAGGGATATGCTGCAAACTTTGTAGCAATTACAATCTCATCTTCTATCCGCTTTTCCCCTGAGATAACAACAATATAGAAAATTAAATACTAGAATGGTAAGATTAACACTCTCTATTGTAAGATTGGGATGATGACTGAAGAGTCCTGGTTTTATCAGCTATAATAATAAAGGTCAATTGTGTCAGAACTGAATAACAATCTCTAATTGTACTAATTTCAAATTCCTTAACTTATTATGAGAACCATCGCAAAATTAAGCAGTACTACATAAAGAAAATGCAGTATAATAAGTTGACAATTGACAAGAGTCAGTTGAACAAACAACTTAGAAGCTTCTCAAACAAAATCAAAGTCCAATGTTCAATCCACAGCAAGGCAGGTTAAATTTAGACTGAGAGAAAGAAACCAACCTCGAAATTCTCTAATGAACTTTCCTAGAAGTTTTTCACTCTGTCCATTGAGTCTTCCAGTCCCATAAGAATCCGCAGTATCAAAAAGATTGATGCCGTTCTCCACGGCAAGATTGAAAACTCGTTGAAGTTCAGAATCCATTGATTCCTTGTAACCCCAGAGAAGCTGGTTGCCCCATGCCCACGTCCCAAACCCCATTGGAGACACAGTCAAAGGACCCATCTTCACCTGCCCAGTAAAACAACCACTGAAAATTAATACCTCCCATAGAATCAAACAAGCTTAGAGATAGATAACGAAGTACCCTTTGCCAGGGCCAGAAGAGAGGGAACTTGAGAGACTTGACAGGTGAAGATGGGAGAGCGAATTGATTGGAAGAGCTGAGACAAGTGATGCAAGCTGCGGGAGCTGAGTTTGAGAAAGCCATCGCCTATGTTTTCAATCACACACTCCAGTAGCTGGGAAAGAAGAACTAAAGTCCGCTGTTTTTTGTTTTTCGGAATGATGAAGTTTGCTGTTAGTTATTATAGTTTCGGTGTGCCTTTTGTGGTTCAAATTGAAACTTGGAAAAGATGAGGCATGGTCTCAGAAACCCCTCCACTTCGATCAGTCACCGCAGTCACTGCTACTACTACTTTCTACCACAAAGCTAGTTTGGGAAATTTTCACAAGTCAAATTACTTTCCAATTTTCAATTTCAGGTGTTAAAAACAATTTGATGTGTCATTATCCTCCGGCTGTCGCCATAAACGAAAAACGCTAAGCTTAAATCGCACATGTTGATGTTGTGGCCCAAAATGTTTTTACCCAGTTTATGCCAAATTTTAGAATTGAAAGCCCGTTATCAAGTTGGATTCAACCCGATACTAAATTGAGTTAAAGGTTATAAAGTTAGATGAAAAAAACAAATTTGACAGCTGTGGGATTTGAACCCACGCCCTTTCGGACCAGAGCCTAAATCTGGCGCCTTAGACCACTCGGCCAAACTGTCCTTTTGTTGATAGGAATTAAAAGATAAAATATTTAAAGTCTTCTCTTTTAGTTGTCGTAAAGCTCTTTAACTCAGTACTTCATCTGCACACAAACAATTAACTTCTTCAAATAATTGTGACGTTTGGCTGTCATCAACATTCTCTTTCTAATCTAATTAAGTATACATTAGGCCACAAGGGTGGCGAAACGTGTTTTATTGGACTTTGTTTTTGTGGAGTTTCTTTTCTTTTTCTATGAGTAACTTTATGATCTCGTATTGAACAATGATAGTTCCATCGTTTTCCTCTTCATCACTTAAAGGGAAAAAGAAAAGCTCCATCTCTGCTTTTTCCTTCTTAAAATAACGATGATAGTTTGGTGGGATGATTATTTTATCATTCTTTGTCCAATTTCAAGGCGCAAATGCTAAACAAAAAGGAAGGATGGAGGTACTGATATTGAAACACAGATCAGTCAGACTATAAATGAACTATATATGTATATATGATGACAAGTTAAGCATAAACCAAATTAGGGTGATCACAAGTTCTGAAGCAGCAGTGTTTAATGGAAAAGGGTCTTTTGATCTCTCCTGTTTTATTAACAAATCCGTTTGCAGATCGATGGGATTTTAGGTGCCCTTTGGTAATCCAATGAGTGACAAAATGAAATGTAAATCAAGACGTGTTTAAAAAGGAGTAGCACATATGCAGGTCGAGAGCAATCCCTAAGCTATATTTGCAGTACCATATGTTGATCTGGTCCCATAATCCAAAAAGAGAAAGGGTAAAGGAAAAAAGAAGGTGGAGAAATCTATTGGTTACAACCACTAGCATCCCGTTGCACTCTTTACTAGCTCATGTTCAAGCAAATTCATGGAGACGAGTCACAGACTGAGAATTAGCTAGCCAAGTCCTGCTTGTTCTCAAGATCTTTTCAAACATGTTCGGTGGACGGTTTCTATGCCTTCCAAGCCTTTTGCTTTGGTTGCTTGGTTGATGTTGGTGGGCAGCAAGGGAGCCTCCACTTCAGTTTCCTGATTCTCGCCTACTCTAATGGCACATGACAACCAACACTCAAACAGACATGGAAAACATTTCGTTTTGTAGGTGTAGCCCACTTTTCAAATCCAAAAGTTTAACCACTGAGAATTGCTACATGAATGATCGAAAAGACCAGACGAATCAAATCCACACAATTTTTCAGGTGATGCAGGGGAGTCATTTCTATATTCCTCCATGCTCATAAATTCGTCTCCTGGCTGCGCTGCATGCTCGATATGTCTGTCGTTTTCAATTTGTAAGCCAAGGAATCCCCTCTCTTCTACTCCTGCCTGTTGGAAACTTGGCTGTACTTCTGCTTCAGGCTCGCACTTGGTATCTCCATTTTCCGAACCACCGCCTGTGTCAAGACCCTTTCTGGCTTTATTTATGTCATGAGGTTCTGCCAGCAGTTTACTTAGACTCTGCAACTGAGAAGGAAAACAAAAGTTCTATGACCTTGCAGGGCAGTAATTCTGTTAAATAAACCCACACTGAACATTGTGATAGAGTAAGAAGTAGAACATCGGAGTACCTGTAACATTAAGGTCTGTTTCTCTTTCTTCAAGGATTCAAATCTCGATGCTAAGTTGTCGTAATTAGCTCTGAGTGTTCTGTAATCTTGCTCTATCTGTTTTGACTTCCATCTAGCTCTTCTGTTTTGAAACCATATAGCTACTTGGCGAGGTTGGAGCCCGAGCTCTCTTGCCAGTTCCAGTTTCTTTCTTGGTTCGAGCTTCGTCTCTGATTCGAAAATGGACTCTAGTAACCTGATTTGCTCATCACTAAACCTCCTCTTGTTCTTCATCTTATTCTTCTTCTTCCTTGGAGTTTGAGGTGGCTGTTCTGCTACTTCTTCATGTCCTGCTGGATGATACTCTCTCTCCATTATTGGAATTTTAAGGTTTTAAATATAACTCCTGGTTAATATACTCTTATCTGTAATTACAGAGAGAGTTTATAACTCTTTTTTTTTTCATCTCCTTTCAAGGTGAATGTGCTTGGAATTAGAATTCTACCGAGGAGGGGGGCCTGCAGATATATAGTTGGCCACGATTAAAGGTACTTCGTATGGTTGCTTTCAAATGATTGAGACTTTTGATTGCTGGATTCTCCTAACCAATACGGCTAGCTATCGTGTGGCATTCTCTTTCCTATGCCTTGTGGATATCTATGTCTTCATTCGTTTCCATTTGTAAACTATAATCCAGCTTCTGTGGTTGCTGCCCTGATCCCGGCACTGTTGCATGAATGAAATTAGAAATGGGAGGAAAGCTATTTTTCTTGTCACTCATGCACACATGCAACAAAGGGCTGGATGCCTTAATCTACAAGAGGAAAAGTTATAAAACATCTCAGACTGAACCACTTTTGCTTTTGAAATATCTAACCAAAGTAAATGGAGCCACAGCAATTAGCACATGGATGGCAATGGTCGATGCATGCATTTGCTTTATATAAACATTAAGATGCCTGCAGAAAGTTAAAGGCCATAAATGAGGAAACAAACAATTATGTGGAGGAGAAAGTTTTCCTAATAATATTTTCACTGCTAAGATCGGAACGGAACAGAACAAAAGGACCAAACATTTTCAATAGTCAAGTATATGTTTTATATAGAATGCAATTGACTTTGGGAGGTCGTTCATGTTTGGAGAAGAGATGTAGGACGGGTTTACATGAGATTCATATTCCCCATGGTTGGAAAGTACCTAATGATTCGAGATTTGCTTGTTGACTTTTCACCTAAACCAAAGATCATTTTGTTGTTAGTTGAGTCTGGGGAATTCCAAAATATTCAGAATTGTTGACCTCCTCTCTGTTTTCTTTCTATTTGGAGCTGTGTGGTAGGTTGCTTTTGGATTTTGCTGTCATGCTTGTCCCGCTCACGATAATCGAGGTTCCCACAGGGATCCGGGGTAGTTATATTTGTCCGGTCGAGCATTTGAAGATTCGTAGATATTAGTCCAGTTTTGGATGTTCTTGCATTCTTTAATATTTTAAATCATTTCTTACACGCAGTTGTTGACAACTAATGATTTGAAGCAAGATTATGCCTTTCCACTATTTGTTGCACTCTTTGAAGATGTTGCTACAGTTATAGTTGATTGAACTATTGGCCAAAGGAAGCTTCATTAAGAGCAGCTGCTTGATCATTGATCAATGTTTCTGCTACTCTTCTAGGAGTAGAGAGTTGCTGACACAACGTGCATTAATTTTTTATCATCTTTGTGCTTGGTGAAGTCTTATAAAATCAGATCGTGTATCCACTTCGGCTTAAATTGTAGACATAATTGCCTTAAAAGTGTGAGACATCCCCTAACTGAATCAAAACATGTAGTTCTATCCTGCTCGGGTGGATATATATCCTCATCGGTAGCTGGTACCCGATTCAAGTTATGTACTTGAAAAATAACTTGGTTTCGTTTTGAACTCGAACGAACAGCCTCCACGTCACTTCAGTGGGCGTCTTTCCAGAGATCATTCTTCCAAAAAGACGACTCTATTTCTTTTCCTGGTTCAACGTTAATTCATAATCGGATCTAACGTCAATGTCACTTGCATGAAGATAAGACCTGGGTCTGAACCTGGCCTTGGGAGAAATTCAGAACCTGTCCCATGAGAATTTCCAAGCTTAATATTTTCTCCTTGAAGCAATAGTATAAGGTAATGATTTCGCCACCGCACTTTATGTCTACGTTACTTAGCAGGAAAAAAAAAAAAGAAAATTGTTTGTTTATCAGACCGAGGAGGTAGGTTAGGCTGCGCCATCACACGTCATCGAGTACAAGATGAGGATCAATAGGCTCGCCTAATGTGGACAAAAGAGATGTTTGATTGTTGTCATGTTAAATCACAGATGAAAGCAAGGCTTTTATATTTACAGCCAATAATGCCAGTTGGCTCTGGACAAAGCTAATCTAAACAAAGTTATCTCATTCTTCAGAAATCAATTTGGTTTCTAGCGAGTGATATTGCTATGTGTCGCTTTCAATGGTAAGCCCAATGAATTTAACACATAGTCCAACACCCGTCAACTGTGTTCCCATTTTACCTGTTTTACATGACTAAACAGAGGTTAAATGTCGATGGTCCATGGTTGTTCAAGCGTCATCTTCAAGCAAGTACATACGTCGGCCTCTACTCCAGGAACTTAAGATGCGTTTTCGATGAGCCCTCCCTTCAACCCCCTTCTTTCTCTCCTCTTTCTTCCTCCCATTCCCCAACCCAACCTTGTACACTTATCGAGCTTGCCATGGCATTTGCCTGAACTTGTTTGATGCAGCTCAATATATAACGGGTAGGAAGTAGTAGTTCCAACAAAAACACGGTGGTTTATATAATTGAAAAAATGGGTCTAGTGACTGAATCCTCTATGGGTTTTTATGATCACATTTGCCCATGATCTTGCAGCGGGCAATTTTCTATCATTATTAAATGATTTTGAAAACAATAATTATTCTTGTACTTTAAGTTACCTAAACCAGAACAAATGAGTTCATATATATTGGAAACAACTTTCAATCTATTAATTAATCAATGGCTTGATTCTTTCATGGCCTACTTGATAGTAGATTTGCGGTTAGAGAGGTGGGCTCGAATGCGTCAGGCATGGAAATGTTCACACCGTCTTTTATCGATCCGTGCGGGTCTCTGGAGCCCGTCTTTGATTCGACCTGAGCCCCCTAGCCTTGAAAATCCTTGAACAAAGAGGAGACTATTTCTCCAATTGCCAAAACCCATCCATAATTACAACCTTCACCTTAATTAGAAGGCCGATTCATATGTTTTGTCTTGTGGTACTCCAAAGCGTGGTAGCTGTCCCAAGTCCAGGAGGCTAGGCTGTGCGTTATCATTAAAGACTGCGTGCCAAGGGACGCCATAAAACCGAGTGCTTCTGAAAACGACGCCTTGATTTGTCATTGAACGGCCATAATTCCAATGTTGTGTTCCCTTTAGGCAAAGCGTGGGCGTCCCAAATTGCTAGCAAATGTCAAACCATTCATACCCACCTTTGGCCACGGCTGTTCAATGGCGCCCAAACATGACACGCGCTGTTGGACGATTGGTGCAAAATGCCCAGTGGCTGCCGACGATGAAGACAAAACAAAAGTTACGTGCACTGAATTTCAAACCGAGTTTGGTGGTACTCTTTTTCCGAGTTTCTCTCTCTCTCTCCCATACTTTGTTGGGCTTAAACTCGAAGTTTGTGACCGGTGAGTCGGTCTCAATCATTGCGATCTTTATTTTGTTCATAACAAAAACTTTTGAATCGCTGGTTTAACTCATTGGTCCTCAACAATTAATACGGTTGATAAGCTGTATATGAGTTACAAAACTAGCTAATTACATGTTTTATTAATTAAAAAAGTTTGTCATTTGCTAAGAATTAAACACGTGTTCACAAATACTACTGCTTTTCTTTGAACAGATAGTATACACTTGAACCATATGTAACATTTAATTCATACTAGTATCTAATTTGTGATATATGCCGGAATTTAAATTCAAATGTTGGGCATGACCTAGGCCATTAATCCAGAAACTTAGAGAGTAAGAAACTTGTGAACCTACTTGCCCACCAAGTTTTAAGGCCCATTGAAAGTTTAGGCAGTAGACCACCATGGGCTTCAACAGCCACCTGTACTTAAACTTTTTTTTTTCTTTTTTGGTGAAAGAGGTGGCATGACTTTTTCAGACTTTAGCTTCCCCTTTGATTGGTTCAAACGCACGAGAGAAGACAAAAGAGATTAATTTTCTGTTGTATGACCAAAATGTGACTGAAAACATCTGATCTCGTCCTCGTAGGCACTCATCGCCGCAGTCCCCATCCACATAAAATGAAAATGGGGAACTCATATGAATTCTTAATAATGGTGAAAACTCCCCTTATGTTTATTGCTTGGAAGTTTTCCCCAAGGACAGTCGATTCATGTTTTGACTTGAATTGGAAAAAACCTGAAACATCTTACATGGTGTGCCTTATACGATCTCAGTCAAAGTAGTGGTTCTTTTGGGCTATGTACCCAAAACAAATAGCTCTCATACTTTCATGGCCATCTTTCTCTCTTGCTTTTGTTCTTTAATAGCACACTGCTACAAGTCTAAATTGTTTAATTAATTGCAGAAGCAACAAAGAGAGCTGTTGCGTGTTCTTCTATTTCTTTTTTTGTTTTGGTTACAAGTTGTTGACATGTTTTTCATTTATGAATTGATCAATGCTTGTGACCGAAATTTGATTTCAACTGTTCAAAAAAACAAAAAGAAAAGCGTTAAAAACAGTAGTATAAAGCTTATAGATATAATTACACAAAATCCACCACCGAAAAGATATTGGAAAAATTATAAATTAATAACAATTTTTGTCTCTAATGTCGGCAAAATTACATTACACCTGGTTACACTACAAGGATTTCAGAAATATTTAGAACTCGTTCTACATGACAACTCGTGATTGGATTAAACTATACTAGCATTACTTTTATTTTTTATATTTAATTTTTGGTTAAAAAATTATTGAGAGGGACACTGCTTAAAATTTGGTGCGAGGTAGAAACATGAGCCCACTGATAAGGTATTACATGATACTCCTATCAGAAAAATCACAGTGTCACTTTTTGCATACTCTCAATAAGAAGATCATGATGACCAAAATCCATTGGGCAGTTTTTTACAGGATTTGCTTATAATTTAGAGTTCAAAAAGTTAGAGCAAAAGAAAAGAGCTGAACCCAACCCAACAGCTGGGTTCCAGAAATGACCACGACCTCGGGACCCCCATGTTCTTCCTCAATCTCTCTCTTTCACCGCTTTTACTTTCTCTCGTAAAAGCAAATGATTATGTTCATCGTCATCAACAATATATCACACGAAACCCGCAAAAGAATTGTTGTATTGAAGGAAAGAAGAGCGGAAAAGTGAAGAAGGAAGATCATATGCAGGTGGGAAGCTTTTCTCGTTGAGGGGAATGCTGTCTGGTTCAAGAGCACCCAACTCTCCATCTATTTTGATCTGTTTCGACCCTAAAACTGATTAGCTTTCAAGATCAATCGAAAGATAGTCTTACTCCCTGTTTAATTTGTGCTTTTGGACCAGGCTTCATTCCCCTTAATTACTGCTTCCACTTTTAATATTTTTACATGAAAGTGCAGTGGTTTTATTCTTGGATTTTATCGATCATCAGTAGCATGATTAGTTTAACAGGTGAGTAATCATTTCTTTATTCTTTTAGCCGTTACAGCAGCTATATATATATATATATATTTACCATGTGTGTTCATGGGGTTTTGTTTCAATATATATAAATTAAGGTCGTTTAATTACAAGCAGATTGGTGTAATGATGAAAAGTTTTGACTATGGGTTTGTTCTGCCTGAATCAGATAGTGGTTAATTTTTCATCATTGATCTTTTCATACAATTATAGTATGTTTTCTTTCAAATCCAGTTATTATGACTGTGTGTGTTTCTGTCAGTCTCTCCAGCTTTTTTTTTTTCCTCATATGATGAAATACACTGTCTTTTTCTGCAATTCCTGCCTTAGTGGGTTGAACTCCAAAGTCTCAAACCCTTTATTCTTTTTTATTTAATAACATCAACAGCCTTTTAATTAGGGTTTAAGTTCTTATCACTTGCTCAGTTAGCTACAGGTCTCTCGGGGAAATCAAAAGGAAGAATAATAGAAAGCTGACTAGTTTCCTAATTCCTATACTACATATTAAATTAAGGATTTCGCTACATCTTGTTGCTGGTGGTAGTTGGTGGATTTGCAGGAGGCTCTATCATCTCGACCTCTTGGCACTAATAATTCATGTTTGTGTTGGAATCAAGTACATTAAATTGCATTTTTATTTTTTTGGAGGCCTTCGTGGAAGACAAAGAGCCCAGCTTAAGATTTGAAGCTTCATCAAGTGGATATATATTCTCCAGAATTGATTCCATTCAGTTGTGCTTGCTTTCTTTATGTTAAAAAGAGGTATCTTTCTGTTCCTATCTTTTGAAACTCCTTTTCATGGCCTTTTATTTTTTCTTGTGGATGGAAATCTATCTCATCTAGACATTATTCCTTGGATCAATCCAAAAGGTTAGTCTTACCCGGCTTTACCCATATGTTAAATAGAGACTGTGTATAACCTACTTAGCTAAAAGATGTTGGCAATTGAGGTGGGAGAAACTTTGATCACAGTGGCATGACTTTGTCTGTTTTATCGCGTTGAGAAATTTAATGGTTGAAGTAAACATCAGTTACAAATGGAGTCTAGAGTTCCAGCTCTCTTCTTGACTTTTGAGATCCTTTAATTGGCATTATTGAAGTCTGCCATGCAGTAGTATGATTTTTTCCAGAGATCTGAGGAAGTTGATGATGAAGGACGATTTCTTTTTGGGGTTGAAGAAGATTGATTATTATAAATCTAGCTATCACTGTATTTTCACAATTCTCAAAACTGCATTCCACTTATGAACGTCAGCGACTGCTTACAGATTTTCCCGAGATCCACAATCTCATTCAGATGACTGTCATTTCCCTGTAATTGACTACACCCCTTGAAAAGAAATCTCAATGCCAATCTACACAGACGTACCTTTTTCCATGTAAAATCGATTTCCAAAAGCAAAAGATAGCACGTGCATGAAGTTTGACAAGGTGTTGGCAGCTAATTTAAGGATTACTTTGAACCGTTTTGCTATTCGCTTCATTTGATAATTTGATGCCTGAATTTAAGGAAAATTATAAAGAGGAATTTACCCATTTTAGGACATGTACATATGATAACATTTGTGAAGAATTAGAACTATCAGAAAGGGGTGGTGGGCCGCCCTGCGCTGCAGTTACCTTCCCCCACCTTCAATTCTATTAAAAACATTGAGTTGTGGAATAGGTAGAGTAATGACTAGATCTCTTCGCCCTGCATGAATCATAATCAATGGCAAGGGTCAATTCTAATTAACCTCTATGTAATGTTCACAATGCACCAAAAACGAAAAAAAAAAAAGACTAATGAAAGAAAATAAGAAGGGTGCGAATTAGGCATGAGAGTGGAGAGTCTTGAAAGGCGTATTCTCCTTTCTCCAAGCAGCTGCCGGTGCTTCTGGACCACTGAGTAATTGAAGAACGAAAATCATGATCTACTACAAGTTTACTCTATAGTATAATCATTGGATGTAGTGGGCGGCAGGTGTACATATGCAAGGCACGGAGACAAAGTGGAAAGAAGAAACGTCTTAAGTTTTAAAGTGCAACAGAAAGTGATCTCTGCAAATGCAGGTTTTATATATTGCTCGGTCAAGTTGGTCAACTTAAAGTCTTGATGCGTTTTTCCACTACAATTTATTGCTATATTTTGTGGATTCTGCGGTTGCTGTCTTTGGGTTTTAAATCCTTACAAAATACTTTGTGGAAGCAATAGAGATTTTCATAATAAATTTATGTATTATAAGAAGTCATTAATTGTGTTTTCTTTTGAAATAATATTAGAAAAATTATTCACTGTACTGATTCTCTTGCGAAGTTGGATCTGAATCAAAATGAGTGTCTTCTTGTTTAGTAGGTGTATATGGTTGCATGTTTGAAAGAAAAAAAAAAAAAGAAAAAGCCTGCACCCTTATCATTTTTTGAAGCACCAAATTAATTAAATTACTTCACAAATGGTGATCTAATTTTGTTTTTGTAATTTGATGCCTGGTTATGGTTACCCTATTAGGCTTCTATTATCATCCTCATATCGATCTATGCCTTTAGCCCCTCATCTGGCTTTGCATCATTTCAGAGATACAAAGACTAAATCAATGATCATAATTAAACTTTTCAGAAGCATACTCAGGTATTTAAATTATATTAATGTAATTAATTAAACTTTTCAAAGATACTTGGGAAGACGGCCGTGTGAATGGTTCCAGGCCCAAAAGGCTTCAAGGCAACGTTGCCTAGGGGTTAAAGAATTGGTCTTCATGCCCAATGCATAACAATTAGGAGTAAATATCTCCTAAATGTTCTTCAATTTTTTTAAAAAAAAACAATCTAGCAAAAATTGACAGTTTGTTTGATATATAGATTAAACCTTTAAGTGAGAGATTAATCAATGAATTCAGAGGATAAAAGTGGCATAGTCGATAGAGCCCGTTGCTTATTGATTGGGTTATGAACGAGAAAACCAAAAGCCGTGCCTGCACTGCATGCTTTTAAAATAATATTAATACGTACCCTACCACGATTAAATATCATATTGGTCAAAACTTCAAGGCTCAGATAATCAAGTTAAACCCTCCAAGGCTAGCTTTAAGCCTCCAACCCGTCATCCATGAACCGACTTGGTCAACAAAAGGACTTGCGATATTTGACTGATAGTTTGGAAGTGTGATCCATAATTTTTTGGAATCTGATGGGCGGATATTTTGGCCATTAGCCTTCTAATTAGTAGTCATGCATATTTTTGACTTTTCTAACAAGTTTTACTAGTTAAAAGAGAAAGAAATCTCTTCTGAATTTTCTACAGCATGGAATTGGAAATCAAACAATCTCACCCTAAAAAGCTTCTGATATTCCTACATATGAAACCTTAGAATTAAATGCGTCCAGCCTGAAGCATATCCTTGCAGTACAGCTAAGATCAGCTGCCTCAGGATCCTATATAACGTACCAAAAATCTGTCTGTTTTGGAAAACGGGTTCAATCGTTAAAATATATGGAAAGCCAACAAACGTATCCATGAAAATTCCTATAAAATTGTCCAAACCGCAGACAGCTTGCTATTAAAAAAAATCCTAAATTCGATCTGTAGCTTCAATAAGCCCATAATGTTCATGCCCTGAAAACTGCTACAACCGCAAGACAACCGAAATTAAAGCAGCCCTCACATATCACCAGAAAACTTCTCATTTTCTCCGTTCTCTGTATTTTTTTCTCTCTCCAAAGAAACCCACCAAAAATCTTTTCTTGCTGTACACCAGCCTGTTTCCCCCCGGTTGGGTATAGGGGAGAGAATCAAACCAATTCTTCTCTCCCCAATACCCCCTCCGACCGCCCAATTATGCCTTGGATTTACGTTTCTTCCAACCTTTGTTGCTACTATCATCGCCACCATCACCGCGGCCACCACTACAGTACCGTTCAGATATTTGCTAACAGTTTCCGCCCTTGCCATCATCATCATCTTTTATAGCCAACGTGTGTGCCATGTTCTTTATTTCTACTTTACCATTCCTTGACTCCGCCATCGACTATGCCACCATCTCCTTCATCGCTGCCCTCCTCCTCCTCTCTCTTTCTTCTATCTGCTTCATATTTCACCTCCGTTTTAAATCCAAAAGCTCCCGTCATTTGCAGAATTTCAACTCTCTGTGGACCGTCCGATTCCTTTTTGTCTTCTTCATCACGTTCTGGGCCTTGACCGAAGTGCTTCGCTTGCCCTTGTTTCGCAGACGATTTGTTTATCCTCTCGTGCCACAACTAACCGTGCCACAACAAGCCAACCTCTGCAAAGTCCACCTTGTTCTCTCTTTAGGGTTCTTTGAGCCTGGTTTCCTAGTAACCCTACTTTTCTTGCTTGATGTCTCCGTTAAGAAAACAAGCCCACGAAGCTTATTCAGCGTTTTCTTTGTCTTGGCCTCCTGTCTTCCCATTTTCATTCTACAAGTTTACTTTTTCTTTTTCCAGGGTCCGAAGATACTTTTCCCAGAACCTTTCCATAGGAGTTGGATCGTCAGCCATGAAAATACGATGGTTTTGTGTGCGTACCCGTTGTTAAGCACCATTTTGTTCGGCGTTTTTGGAGCTATCTTTTCATTGTCATTCTTGTTATCGTTCTGGAGAGTCGTCTCTCATGTAATCAACAAGGCCCTCAGGGTTCGAATCTTTGCCCTCGCTTTCACTGTCATCATAACGTTGGCATTGCAAATCCTGTTAATGGGATTGTCTGTCTTTTGGACACCGGACAAGACTGCATTCGACGGAGTTGCTCTTCTTGTATTCCTTAGCACGTTTACGTGCGCAGTGGTTGTAGAGGGCATTTTGGTGATTAAACCGATCGCAGACTCGTTGGCCGCGGGAGCAGGAGGAGGAGAGAGTTGCCAGGGGAGTCGTCACGGACCCTGCCCGTGGAGAATGGGGATAGTGTATAGGAAATGGGATGCCTAAGGCCGCGACATAGTGGTGAATCCGATGGTGGTAGGTCGATTTCAAATGATCAAATTATCAGGCTGAGAAGAATTCAGAGTGCCAATTTCAAGGATATGTTGGATAAATTGCTTTCCTCTGTAATTGAATCATTTAGCAGACAGCCACACATTACTTCTTTCGTTTTTGGTGTCGTTTAGAATTTTGTTTTTATTCTCCCAAGTTTACTACACATAGAGGAAAAAGACTTTTTGCACATAAAAATGAGAAAAAAGAGGTCCAAATGAGTATTACTCTTTCATTTTTCTTTTATTCTATGTTTACTCCGTTTTGGTACTTGAAATGTTGAGCCGATCATATAAATTCTGAAGCTGGAAGCTGGAAGCTGGTTAATTAATACAGTAAAAGTTGCAAAACCATTTCAGAAAGGAAAATAAGTTTAATGCAACTAAGTAGCAGAGGCCAATGCCTGCATGAGTTTTGACGACGAAAACGAAATAAAAATAATACATTCAGTGCATAAACGTAATGTCTATAGGCTTCCTCGCTTAATAAATAGAGACCAAAAAATTATTGTTTTCTAAACTTATAAATTCAGATCGACACACGATTAAAAAGAAAAAAGAGCAGCGACTATTGCAACGCTGATGACACAAATGTTAACAATGCAATTCATTGGCCGGCCAATATATAAGAATATTTAGATCGGAAATGACCCACCGGGAATGCTTTTAATTATTAAGAAAATATCCTGATGTGCATTGCAAACAGAGAAGATACACCGGCGGTGGCAACCACTTGTCTCTCATAGTCCCTTTTGTCGTCGTTTTATTGGGTATAGAGAGCCGGATTGAAGAACGAAGCCTAGCTTGTTGGAGCCTGCCTGTCTGCCTTTTATTTTTTTTAATCTAAAACGAAATTCTTGTTGGATCAACTATTTGTTTATTCTTCTATTTTATCCATAAAAAAGGCTGGCTATGGAATGAAAAGACCGGAGACATCCTTAGCCTTAGGCCTCTTGGGAAACGGTTTGCTAACCTGGCAAGGATTTTCGGGTCTCGCGCATGCCTTGCCGGGGTCTATTAAAAAATGAAGGCCGTCGTTTGCATTCCCCTTTTATATGTGAAAACTTACTTTATTTGGAGTTACTCCATCGCAAGAGATAATTACCCCTGATTTCCATAATTTTCCCTATTCTTTTCCTTTTAAGATTTGAAATTAAAAAATTTTTAAATTCTAATCATTGAGATATCTCGTTTAAGTACAATACGGTAACATATGTAGTTGATATTGTTTCTATACCAAAAAAAAAAAGATGAGATTATACATTAATTTATCAATTAAATATGAATTATTTCATAGGGTTCAACTTGATATCACTATTATGTTTTGATTAAAAATGAGAATTAATTCAAACGTATTTTCACATAAAAATAAAATCCTGTAAATGAGGTCACATTTTTTTTTCTTTTTCATTCTTCGTTTTCTTTTTAACTGAAATGCATTTTGTTTCTTCTAAAGGTAAAAAAAAAAAACATATAGAAATTAAAATCATTGTGGAAATGGAGTCTGTTATCCTTTTACAAGTACAACATATCAAACCAAATTCACCGGAGATTATGGAGATAAGGTTAGCATCTTGTCTTCAAAATTTGTACAAGGATAGAAGAAGATTTAGATAAAGTACATCTTTGGCTTTTATTTTCCACTATCACTATTAATTATGGATTAGACTAATTTCTAAACACAATGGATTTTATCTTGCCTGCTATTTGATGATTCTAATTTGCACTGATACAAAGAAACTGATCTTACTGCTAAATTATAGTCATTATAAGCACCCAGCAAAGAGGAAATTGTAAGCTAACTTAATCCTCCAATACCGGAATATACACATTTTTTCAACAATATAAAAAACAAAAAAAAAACACTGCTGATTAAAGGAAGATTTGAGTGAACAAATGAAAAGGTCAGGGTTGGTAATTTGTGATGACAGATTATAATTGTGTTGTGTAAATATAAAATTATTATATAGTTTATATAGTTAATTGAGTATAAAAAAAAATTTATACGAAAGCATCACGTTAATTATAACACGTCTTTCTAAACGTGATGTTTTACAAACTGCTAACTTGGGCTTAAAACTTGGGTAATAATCTACATTTTCGCAAAGCAAATGGCCCCGACTACAGGTAATGGATTATGACCCAGATGGTCTTGGACCATATATATAGGTTCCCGACTGGACTATCTTACTTTGAAAAGGGTTTGTGCCTATCAGAAGCTCGTGGATATGACCAGAGTTTTTTGGGCCTTTGACTTCATTTGAGCTCCTAGGACTACAACGTTAATGAAATTATATAAATGTAAAAAAAAAAAGAAATTATATGCTAGTAATTAGCATGAATTAAAAAATATATTAACGAAATGAAAGCAACATAGGTGTTTTAGTTCAAGGCATGAAAATATTACTATTAAATCATGTTAATAATCCAAAAAATAAAAAAAACTACAAACCACCCTTAAAACTTTGGAATGTTTAAGAGGGAGATAACAGAAAGGATTCAAAAGCAAATCGAGTCATTTAGATTAGATACCCTAATCATAGTAGGGCACGCTGATCGATCAAATGTTGAAGATCATGTGAAGGGACATCCTATCTAGAATTTGACAGAAAACACCGATTCAACATTTCCCGTTGGAGCCAAAAAAGGAGTGAGAAAAGCCCCTCATTACGCCTCACTTCACTCTTTTCTTTGTCACAAAGTTAGAGCCGAGAGCCCCACACCGCCCCGCCCCTCGCTTTTTGGAATACTTTTCCATCTATTCATACCTTCCTTGCTTCCTTTAATTGTGCAATTTGCATCTTTCACTCACCCATTTTCCTTTCCTTTTGTTCGGCACTGACTTAAAATTGGATAAACCTCGATTACCCTTTTTATGTTTTTACGCTAAGATTGGATGGACTTCATCTATTGGCTATATGAACATGTAGAGCGGTGGAATAACTCTAATTTAACATGAGTTCAGATATGGGAAAATGTCATCAATTACACCGAAGGGGAAGATCTAGATTCATTTAGGATAAAGCGCTACGTTTCCTTCAGAGTTCAGTCCAATCCCAAAATAAATAACTAAAAAAAGTGGTCCACTTATGTACTGATAATAAATTTGGATCAGGGTCGTAAATCGTTTTCATCTTAATATGAACAACGTGACTCATGCAATTAATTTTGATTGTTTTAACCCTAAACCCATGAAAAATGCTAAACAGATGGCAACGTACAACAACAAAAAGAAAGAGGAAAAACGGAGCTTCCAAATACAGCCAAAACCACCCAAAGTATCCTTTGGCTTTTTATGAGAATCAAATTAAGAAAGAAGAAGATGGCGTTGCATAAATTTTTCCTCCTCTTTATATTAAAACACGCACAGATAATACTTAGAATTGAGCCCACCACAATCGTGACCGTGAAAAAAGTGAAAAAAAAAAATATTCATATTTGTTTTGATCATCAGTCACCAGCTTTTGTTGTCAAGATTTAATCGGGTTTGGCACTAAGAAATTCTCAAAGGGCACATGCTTATCTGGAAACTTGGAGAAAAGAGATAAAAATGCGGCCACCTAATACTATTTCAACTTTCAAATGGATGCTTGGCAACAACCATATTCCATTTGACTTTCCCCTTTTAGTGGGTCACCCAACCTCCATTAATTACTAACTAAACATAAGTATCTTTTAATTACTCATCAAAACTTCCTTATTTATCTTGCTAATCTTACCGTTTTGATGAAAACGTTTTCCTTTGGGTGAACAGAATGATCTATCACGTGCGTGAAAAATTATGTGGTCGTTTTGAACAAAAATAACGATTCTTAGCAACAAATTAGCAGAAAAATCTGGCACGAGTCGGGTGGGCGACCTTTTGCATCAAGGGTCCCACGTGGGGTTGGTAATTTTAGGATTGCTTTGATGGGCAAATTTGACAATTCACGACTAGTTCCTCTGTCTCATCTCATCGACCGCGTTTGGCTTTTGGGTACCATGTTGGCACGATGCCCATTTAGATCGTTTCTGTTCTAAGCAGAATGAATAAAATTTCCCTTACGCTGAGGTGACCATTCCTGATTGGTTGCGATGGAACGCCGACGTGTGGTAGATGCCCGCGAGTGTCGGCCAGATTTACCGGGCCCGTGGACCCCGCGCTTGCCAATGTGGCGAAGTGTTTGCCACTCGTTACCCTCTTGTCGTCTCCGCTCAGCAGCCTTGGCCTGCTTCGGGAGTTAGTTTTCAGATAAGGCAGAATTTTTTCTATGAGCAGCTTAAGATAATTCTATGGACAATCAATGTTAATCCCATAAAACCCGCATTTCAAATTCGACGAAATGATTTTCGGTTGGATAATTTTAAAAACTACATTGGTTTCATCCTAATCCATAAGAAAAAGATATAATTACCCCAAAAAATGACATCATAATTAACAACAAAATAAATTACTAGAATCAAAAAATAATTTTTGTTACTTAGCTTTAGCTGTTTCGGTGTGTAATGGTTGATTCAATACTTGCAGGTGTTGTTTAATTGGGATAAAAAAAAGAATGGAATTGATGCAGATAGCAAAATCAAGTTGATTTTATGGTATTAAATCATTAAGGATAATGAAATGGTGTGGGTTGACTTCCAAATTCCAAATATTGCGTAACTCTTGCGTCATCAATAGCCAATATCTCGGAATAGCAAAACTGTTTCCTGGAAATAGCAAAGCCTTTGACGTGTCAAATTTCGCGTAGCTGTAAAAAATGAAAATAAAAATTATAAACGCTAGCAATATCTTAGACGGCAACAATAAGAAGGCAGTGAAGAACCAGAGAGAGACGACCAGTTCAGGCGTTGCCTTTCCATAAGGCTTATCTGGAACTTCCCCAAAGACCAAAAGCCTTTGTGTATAAGCTACGCAAAACAGTGGAACCCTCTTTGTTTCTCCATTCCTTATGACCCATCCATTTCTTTTTGTATAAATACCGGAACCTAGTTCTCCACAATCTCTCACTTTTCTTTCTTGTTCATATGTTGTTTTACAGTTGATTCTCATTGATCATGAGCAACGTTCCAAGGTCTTTAACAGACTCCTCTTTAACCCTTTTCAAGCTCGCCATTTCTGCTTCTGATCCTTGGCCTTTCTCTCTGGTTTTCTTATAACCTTAATTTCGAGAAACCAAAGCTCTCCTGTTTTTAACAAGAACTATAAGGTTTTTCTTTTCCTTGTTTCTTCTTGCTTAATTTGGGGGTAGTTTGCTGAAGAAAAATTATGGGAAGTGGAGACAAACACCACGTGAATTTCCACCTTCATACGCCTCACCTTCACAGCTTTCATCACCATGAAAAGAAGGACCTGAACGATATTCCAAAGGGGTGTCTGGCAATCCTGGTAGGTCAAGGGGAGGAGCAACAAAGGTTTGTAATCCCAGTGATCTATATCAACCACCCACTCTTCATGCAGCTTTTGAAGGAAGCCGAGGAAGAGTACGGATTCGATCAGAAAGGCCCCATCACCATCCCTTGCCATGTAGAGGAGTTCCGCAATGTTCAAGGCAAGATCGATAAAGACCAGCACCAGCACCATCACCATCACCATCACCATCACCACCACCACATCTGGTGTTTTAGGGTGTGAATTTGACCGATTCTGAAAAGTCATGTAAATTTGTTTTTAAGTTTCTCTAGTTTTTAGTTTTTCTTTTCCATTCTAGCATTGCAGAGATCTTGCTTTGTAGATGATGGCGACAAAAAAGAAAGATGAATGACAAGATTCTTCTCACATAAATTTCATTAATTTGATTTACTTTGCTTTTGTTGTTTTCGCTTTCCAACTTTCTTGCTAATGTGAATGCATTAAAAAGCATGGAATCGCTACGTTTTGGAGGGTGTAAAAACTGAGAACATCGTAAAGTTGCAGACGTACAGGACACGGTGGGAACTTGGAATGGGGCAAAGGGTTTTCCTTGTGGCCATTAGATTTGTTTTGGTGAGTCTGTGGTGGCCCATTTTAATACGGATTAGCATACCGTCCCCTTAACAAAGCCTTGTTTTAATGTTTGTTACTGAATCCCGGACTTAATTATTTGCTAGCTTAGTTCATGCTTTTCTTTCTCTACAGTTGAACATGGTTAACTCAGGATCAGAGTTAGGTGAGTTGTGGGCGTCGACTATTGAGGGTTGGTTAATGCATGGGTTCCACTGTCTTACCTCTTTGTCTTTCTTTATGGCCCAGCTTTTGGATCGTTTTGATTGTGGTGGGTATAGCTTGCCCCAGAAATTTCAAACCTTTCAGGTTTCAGAGGCTGGGATATTTCTGCGGTTTCATATATATATATATTAGCACAAAAATACAAAAGGGAAATTGTTTGTTTGATGACTTGTCGTGTGTATGGAAATCTATCAATTAAGTAGTACTACTATGTTATCTTCTTTTATTTTATGTAAACAAGTGGGAAAATTCATTAATTTATATCAAGAAAAAGTGACATTTAACTATTAGATTATGGCTTATGGGTTTCAAATACAGGACATTGACTTTGTTTGTAATGTCTTCACCTGGAACTGGTTTGGTCTTAATAACGAATGGTTTTCAGTAATGGTTATGTTGAGACTTTGGGAGTTTTCTTATGATCCGAGGCGTCCCAAAGTTTTGGTGCCTGTCATTAGGATTGTGGTTGCGACGCTCCACGCATGCAAAGATGTTGGTTAAGCGTTTGTGTAGGTAGGAGTCCCATTTGAGAGCATAAAATCATCTCATCAATTCAGTCATATACATTTCATTTCATTTCTCGACATACTATGAACATGCCGGTCCAATGTCTAATCAATGGGATGATGGCTATGTCAACACGCAAAAGTATTTCCGATTGGATAAAAGTCTTTTAAATGTATGGTAATTCTGGGCTGGAGATAGCTGGCTCTACGCCTCTACCCATGTGGCCAAAATGGCACATTGAGGCATTCTAAAGGCATAGAATCCAGTTGAAAATTGGCTTTTTTTTTCCTTAATTTCTTACTCGCTCCCCTATCCCATCCCTTTGCGTCACGTAGTTAAAAGGGATTCGAGGTGGCAAATTTATTAAGTTCCACCGCCCAAATCGATCTCTGAAAACCTAAGTATCAAGACGACTTGCTGGCATGTTGTGCGAGGCCAGCTTCACTCATCTCCTTTTTCCATATATTGTTGGTCATACGTTTGACCCCATCTTGTAATCATTTGGTACGCTGAATGCGTGGAAACAAAGGTGTTTCCGGCTAAGTTCTGTGCTTTCTCCTGTTGACTCTTCTTCCATTTCTTTGCCATTTCATACAAAAAGAAAAAAAAAAATTCCTTGCGTTCTCAAGACGAAAACCCATTAGTCCAATATGCTTGTCGACCCTGATTGGTTCCAAATCACCATCGCAAAGAATTCATTCATTGGCTCTACAGTTTGACTTTGAAAGCCAGTTGGCTTTTTTTTTTTTTTATAGTTTTTAGGGCAAATACAAAATCCCCCCTGGGACAAAGGCCGGTTTTATTGCCAAGAAAAGACAATCTCATAATGTATTTTTTTTTTATGTCGTACATAAACCTGTTTTTGAAGAGACATCTACCTTTCCTTTTTTCTGTTTTCAGAATATTACTACTCATGTTTGTGGGCTTACTTGTCGTGAGGATATCTATGATTTCCACAGCTGAGTTTATTCCTGACTTCATGGTTTGCTGACTTTAGCGGTAACCGAGAAGATATTACCGATTATTATTTCTTTTTTAATTTCATTGACTTTTGTGTTTTTGCTGAGTTTCTACAAATAGAAAGATAGGCAAAACTTATAACAACTATTGCCCCTTTTCCCTTGCTCTTTTTTTGGCTGAGCAACGAAGTACAGCAGCCTTCTTCACTGCCAAAACATATAAATTTATTTTGCACCGAAGGTTCCCAACATCAAGCACTGGTTCCCACTTCCTATAAATAACTAAATAAAGACTTGCACTAAAAGATCTCGCTCACACCTTTGGAATAAAATCCACACTGTGTAGACTCGAGTCTCCATGATCTTCTGCCTAGACATTCATCTATATACCTCTTTACTCTTCGATCCACAATGAAAGAATACAAAAGATTTTTTAAGTTTAAATTTTACTTGAAAAAAATAAAATTCTATGTCCCTGGTTTTATATGCTATCGACGTCTAGTATTAGAAGCACGAATTGTCACACCATGTAAGAATTTCATATACCCATGGAAGCTCAATTTTCCATCTGAAGTTCTTATCCAGTCATTAAGCAAAGAATGTGTTGAAGGGCCCAGATTTAATTCCTGCAAAGAAAAATAAACATAAAAATCAAGTCAAGGAGATCGGAAGTGAAACTTGACCAAAAGGAATACTCCATTTCCAGGAAAAACAAAAAATGCACATACCAGTGCCAATTCCTCTACTGAAATAACCTTGTTTCCTGCTTGCTCAAAATATTCAAAGGCTTCACTTGCAATACTCTCCCATTCTTCAAAAGCCTCAAGCTGATATGTACTGATTGCAGCAGCAGAGAACTCTTCGAATTCCATCTTTTTATAATAGAGTGGCTCCATCTTGAGATAGATTTTAAAAGTGTTAGTATTAACTACATCTATATAAGAAAATTCAAAAAGGAATAAAAAAATGTCCCAAAGCCAATGAGAAATCATATGTAAAAATAAGTTCTAAAATCAACATTATCCATGAATCACCTTGCCATTTAGTCCTGTAAAATAAAGAAAAACGAATTCTCTCCTACATTTCCTCTTACACTGCTATTGAGGAAATACCCTAGATTATGTACATCAATGTCCGGCTACTCTCACATCATGCAAAAACTTGTGTACCATAATCACAGATAAACTTCAATGATGAAAAATGAACATAGCTAGAACCATGCTAAATTCTGTAACATGACCTGTGCTATTCATTTCAAAATAAACAATGTGTGCGACTGGAAGGTAAATCAAGATATCTCACCATATTTATAATATCAAGAACTCTTGACTCCTGCATGGCATCAGTTATATTCCTCATTAGAGCCTGCAGTTTTCATAATAATGATCATGAGAAAATACTGTGAATAGTAGATGATAAATAACCAAAACAGGTTAATAATGGACTCAATCAAATAGATAGCATAAAGTTTAAAACCAGACTGCAGCTTAGGCAAGCCTGATAGTAGTCACAACTCTCCAGACAAAAGAGGTCTGAAAAGCCTGTGAGAGTTGGAAAGAAGTGAGACCTAAAAAAACCAAGTACCAACCGCTTTAAAATTGCTTAGGGACACGTATCCATCTTTAGGTTCCAAAAGCCTAAACTGTGCCCTAAGATACACAAGAGCATCTTCTGGTAAAGCTTTCGAAAGTGCCTGCAATGATCAAAACAAAGCAATGACAAAATATCACAAAGAATGTTATAAAGAAAACCTTGTACAACCATATCATCAAAAGGAAGGGCTACCTTGCCCCAAAAGGTAGGAAAAACAAGTGCCATATGTCAGTTGGCAATGCCAAAAAATAGGAAAGCCTGCCAATAAAATAAGCAGAAACCATCTTGTTGATTTGAGGATTTTTTTCCCTATCCACATAATCTTTAACTTCCCAGTTTGGTCTCTCCCTCTCTCCCTCGGGTAGGAAGGGGAAGGGATGACCTATAATTTGTCCTTTTGTTAATCATAGGAGGCAGGAAACTACCTTTTGTGCTGCTCGTTTGAAAGGGGTGGCACGAATATATGACTTGACTAACTTGTAGATCAAAAAGTCCAAAGGCACAGCATGGTTTTCATCTCGCAACCATGCGTGAGCTGAAAATATAGAGGTATTTATCAGTTTTCAAAATTATATATATTTTCACAGGTGCCTTCAAACCAAAGTTGTAAATATTTTATAACATGAGAAAGAGAGGGAGAGAGTATAATTTCTATAAACTGCTCATACGTGAGGTCATAACTTTATATTTATATAGCATTTCAAAATATGACTTACTTAATGCTTGGGCAGCAGTCATTCTTTTCCTATGGTCTTTGTTCAGAAGCCTTTTCACAAAATCTTTGGCTTCTGGTGATACAGAAGGCCAGGGTGAATCGTTAAAGTTAGGATCAGCTCTGATCACAGAACGAAAAATTCCTGATTCGGTTCTAGCCCAGAAAGGTCTGCTTCCGCACAACAATATATAAGTTATGACTCCAATACTCCACATATCGGCTTCAACACTGTAAGATCTATGCAGTACTTCTGGGGCAACATAATATGCACTGCCAACAATATCATTGAGACGTTGATCTGCAAATGTACAGAAACTGAATGTTTTGGGTTCAAACAAATGGTTGACAAATGATATAATTTCGATAGGAATTATTTATTACATGATTCAGACAATAATGTGAGACTGAAAGCATGTGAAAATCTGAATGCATGTTATCTGAATAGCATTTGATTTACAAATTGTATGAGAGATCATCTCAAATCATAAGTTCAACATGACTGCAATCAAATTGCACCGCATCAAAGATTTAGTAACTTGAACTGTAGTCCTTAAAGCCTCCTTTTAAAATACAGTGCCACATTGTTGCCATGATTATAGTTGGAGCAAAGGCTTGTAGTACATACGTAGCACATATGTTCTTGTATTACTCATGCAGCACATGCGTTACCTACCACTTGTTTACATTCCAACCAATCCCCAAAGGGCTGGTGCTTAACTCTAATTGTTTTTACTTCTCGATGTGGACAGAAGAAACAAGCTTAATACCCAGTTTAACAAATGGGAAGTTTTCATAAGTAACAAGATAAACATCATACTTTCACAAATAGCACTAGGATAATTCATCTAGACTATCCTATGGCTCTTCAGCTGATAGTGCTCTTATGCGTCCTAGAACAACATGATAGAAAGTTTGAATGCAAAAGATTAATTATTTAGTCCAACATTTTTTATTCCAAGTAGTTGGTTGATTCAATCATCAAGATGTAAAAAATACTAATGCCAGTTTTTCTGAATCCACTTACAACAAAATTGGGGAATTTATGGAGCCATTTCCAGCCATGCTATACTTCAGGACACACTTTGCTAATCAATCATCATATCAGCTGAAGGTATGGTTCACAAGAATACTTCTATTGTTAATGGACAGAATAAGACTATGGTGTTTAATGGATGACAAATTGTGCCAACTAATACAACTAAGGATGAAAAACAAGCTGCAAGTAATGCAAGTTCATAGCAATTAGAGTAGGTTAACAGAATTATAACTGGACAACTTGATTTTTATTACATATAGCAACATTTATTGCTTACAAATAGAATACCAAAATCAATGCAGAATCTAGCAAACAGCCAATTAAATCTTACCTGGCCTAATAAAGTCAGATAAACCAAAATCGATAATTTTCATAGGAGCATCCTCATCTCTTGTGGTGAAAAGAAAATTCTGCAAATGTGGCCACATTGAAGCAAATGATTGGTTAATAACTAGAATTAGATAAAAGATAGAAACAGTGTGCCACATATTGACAATAAAATGCAGCATAGAACTAAATTAAAAAATAAAGTATCATTGTCCTCTATGTCACACCTCTGGCTTTAGATCGCGGTGCACAACCCCTTGAAGATGACAAAAAGCAACTACACTTAAAATTTGCACAATTATATTTTTAGCATCCCCTTCGGTGTATCTACCACCTCTGCAAGAAAGAAACAATATGAAACATGATGTTTTGAAAATGACATTAAGAATCGCGCTAGATAGTACAAGAGAAAAAGGTAACCCTACTATACCTGGACAAAATTCTGTCAAGTAGTTCTCCACCTTCACATAATCTGACAAGAAAAGAATATTTTAATTATTTCAAGGACAAGGAAACATATTAACTCTATGCTGGTAGAAAATGCATGCTTGGACCAGACCAACTGATCGATAAAGTTCGCTTAAAAATTAGTTTCTATTATTGGATTCTGGCAGAATGCTTCAGTTCAATCAGCGCTTAAACTATGAAAAGGTATCAGACATAAATGATTTTGACCAGGAAAAACAATTAAAACTTCAAGGTTGAGGAAGGACTAATAGAAATAATAAGTAACTTTAAACTACACTACGGCAAGTGCACACGTACTCCATGACAATATATACATTATTGGCATCCTCAAAAACATCATGAAATTTGATCATGTGTTTATGTCCAGATAAGGCTTTCAGTATTTTGACCTCCCGACGAACATCTTCTATTGATATTGCTGTGGTCATCTGCCAAAATAACATCCAGTCAGTCGCCAATTATTCTCAAATTCAAGCAAAAGCAGGTAAAGTAAAATATCATTACTGCTTCCGACCAACCCAAACAAAGTAAAAACACAAACACACACAGTCAGTATGGTAAAAAAGGGAAATGTTGCGTTGAAAATTTCAAACATACAAACAAGCCCCGACAAGGCTTGAGGGGAGTTCTACTCTGGATCTTAATTCTCCATTGAAGGAGTAACAAAATGTAAGCCAATGCCAAGTTGTTGATTACCAACCATGCATACATTGAATTATCTTGCTAAAAACTTTCTCCACCCGTTTTTCTCTTATTTCCTTTTGAAATCTTAATCGCATCCCTCTTGTTTATTCCTGGCTATGACACGGCAATCAATTTCACCAAAAAAAAAAAAACCATGCAGCTATATTTTTCAACTTTAATCCAAGGATTCAGACCAGAATTCCTGGCTCCTTCTATGTGCATTCGAATTTTGAAGAAAGCCACCGACGCTTTGTTAATATCATCAACTACCAGTTTTTTTCTTTTTATCGCACATTCCCTTCTTAATATATCCAAATTCCAAAAACTTAAATCCAAATGCGATATTATTTTCATCACATTCACCATTGTAACGAACTCTCCTTTGAGTCAAAGTGCAGTTTCAGCTCAGTCAATACACTCAAGCAATAAAAATTTTAATTTCTTCCTCCTAATAATAATAACACGCACTTAAGAACAAACCAAAAATAACTTTCAAAAAAAAAGAAGAACAAACCAAAAATAAAGCACATACCAAAAACGACACACCTTAGCTTTAGAAATGATCTTAACGGCCACGGACTGTCCCTTGAGCTCTCCTTTCTTTCCCTTGGCCCAGCAAGTATGACCAAAATGCCCTCTCCCAACCTCCTTCCCTAGTTCAAATTTAGCCCCCAAGTTCTTTCCGTACCCGAATTCTTGTCTAGCACCACTCCTTCCCGTCCTCGGGGATCGTTCCTTCCACCGGCGCCGGCTTGTTCGACCCCCGCCGCCTCATGATTGCCGCCATGATTGGTTTCGCAGGAGACGGAGGCGGCAACGGCCACCGGAACTTCCTCCCCGGCGTCCTAGCCGGGGATGGAGACGGTGCAACTCCAGCGGGCAGTGGACTCGCGAATGGACTGACGGCATACGAGTTGGTCTCGACGGATGGCGTCGCTGACGCCGGAACCGGTCGCGGCTTGCAGTGGCTGACGGCGGAGTTTGCATCATTGTTGACTACGGAGACGTTTTTGCTGCAGCAATGGCCCATGGCTCTGAATGTGGAAGTTGAATTGACCGATCGTTCTCGGTCAAATCATCGGGCGACGGTGGACTTTCAGCTTCAGGACTTGGCTAGCAACTAAAAAACCAGCACAGCGAGAAAATTGAGAAAATAAATTTTAAAAAAAAAAAGGAAAAGAAGGATACAGAAGGGGTTGAAAAAGTTGGTAATGTGCTATAAATTTGAAAGTTAATGAGATGGACTAAAATCACAGGAAGTTGTGTTTATTAATTGTGAAAGTCACACTTGCTTATTACTGTCCGCCAAAATTACTATGATAATAATAAAAAGGCCGAAAGTAAAGTGTGGGTCCCATTTATGCGGCCGTGGGATGTGGCCTTCAATTGCAATTATTGGATTTAATTAAGTAGAATTAACCCACGGTTGACAAAGGAAACCATATTTTAATTTAGGCTAAATCAGGAAATTCAATCATTTAATCAATAGTTTATTAACTAAACAATAATAATTTTGCGACTAGAGGGCGAATGTCAGGTGGACGGTGCCAAAATTACCTGTATTTTAAGTAAAAGCAGCAAAAAAAATAATACTTAAAGAGGCAGAAATTCACTACGAGGAAACGGCTGTGATTTTAATTGGTGACAGCTCGTAAATGCTAACTGATTGGCCTTGGAAGGACGACGACTACACTGCAACAAAATCAGAACAGTCAAAAGGGCAAAACGCGTTTTCTGCAGTAGTAGGGGAAAAAAAGGTCTCTAGACAGGACCGAATCTACTACTATACGAGCTTTGTACGTGATTAAATTAAGGACATTATTAGCAGTTGAAGTTTGTGAGGGTTTGCTAAACTCACCTTGTGCAACTGCTTTGAATGCATCGGTATGGCTTTGTTTGGATTGTAGGTAACAAAATTATGCTAGACTTCCTTAATTTATAAGAAGCATATACCGAAGAATAGCTTAATTCTTTAAATCAGTCAAATCGTAGGTAACCAAACCATATGATCAGCATTACTTCATTACTCTTAGGTTGGAACCGGTAGTTCTTTGACTTCTTTTTATCATTTTTTAAATTGAAAAAAAAATTAATTTTAATTTTTAAGTAAATAAATATGTACTAATTAATAGATTAAATACTCGAATATTGACTTTTTTTTGTAAGTTGAAATTAAAGATTTTAGATTTTTATGTTTATTGAATCTTTTTTAAACTAATAATATCAATTTTAACTTGTAAGTATTAGTATATTAAAATCTTTAAGAGATGTAATGATCAAAGTTTAAAATTTATATGTTTAAAAATTAAAAAATAAATCACATTATTTATAATATAAAAATTAATTATATATTTTTCTATAAATCAAATACGTAATCCATGTCATTCATATTAAAAATCCAACTTAACATTAATATAATGTGAGAAAATTCATGGTTAGCATGCATTGTCTTCAAATTGAAATGAACTAATTTGAAAATCATTTCTGGTTTAAATATTTATTATTTTGTTTGATCTGACATAACTTAAAATTATTTTTTTAGTTTAAACAAGTTGGGGATAAAAAGTAGCCAACATATCTAAATTTAACGAAAGGATTGAACTAAATCAATCCATATATCTATACATATTCTATAATTTGATTTTGACTTTTCAATTTAAAGAAACAAATCCAAATATATATATTTTTGCTTTTCAAAACTTAAATAAACAGAATAGAATCCTGGAAAAAGAAAATGATTGATCGATAAGTTTCCTTAACAATAACATGCAACGTGCTTCTTCCTGCATTAAATTTATCAGAATAGAAACCTAGAAAATTAGAATGGCAAGTTGCCCAAGCCAACTCTATTCATTTCTCTTGTTCAACGTTAGAGGTGTCAATGGTCAGACCTGCTGACCCGATTAACAGCTTTAAATTTTAAAAGTCTGAATCCGGTTTAGTCGTGTAATTAGATTATATTTATTAGTAATTTTTTTTTAAGAATTATTTTTATATTTTAAAAATGAAATGATATAAAATATTATATTTATTAATTTAATAGTATTAAAAGAAACTGAATCCAACATAAGATTTTTTTTATCCAAAACCCATTTTGAAATTGGGGCAAATCCACGAATTTTTCGGACAGCCTGATCCGTAGACGTGTGTAACGAAAATGCAGGTTATGGCGGACGTAGCTGTCACCTTCAGTGCCAGTTGGACAACCGTCGGTTCATATAAATAAAGATAAAAGCAAAGCAAATAAAGGCGAAGGAGGTATACTATTGTATTATTATATAAATAAAGGCAAAAGCCGCATAGCGGTGAACTCTTTTCCTCGATGCTTGAGGTGTTGGATATATGATCGGTGCTTCAAGCTGCTGGCCTGCAGATGAGATAAACACATGCTCTAAACTCTTGAGTAGTCAATATATAGCTGTGGAGTGAGGTTAAGTGTTAAATGTTGACAAGTCTTTGTAGTCGAGTCAGACCGCATCGATCGGTTCTTGAAGACGACATTGATATTCTTTGAACAAACATCCGTTTCACTCCATGCTTTGGATTTCATACGTTTTTCAGCTTTAGATTTAACAGCTGCAGCCTGCAGGTCAAATTTTAGTATCAAAGATATCCATTTATTCCACCGACGGGATTCTCAAACACAAGCGTATTACAAAGTCATTGGAGATCCACGAAAGTGTTTTTCATGTCATGTCAACTCTGGTGCATTATTTCACTTGTATGCTTAAAGAGCAAGTGATGCTTCTGTCATTAGACAAGACCGTTTGGATCAAAGAAGTGAAAAAAAAAAAAAAAAAGGCTCTGGGTCTTCACTCTTGAACATAAAGCAGATGAGGAATACGACTTTTGATCATTTTTGGGTCAAAAAACAAGATTTACAGGGAAATGATACGATTAATAGTATGAATTCAGATGCTCGATTTGGTCATTGTGAACATGAAAACGGAAAGAAACACTTTACTTGATTCCAACACTCTTTTCTGATTCAAATATGAAAATTGCGTTACTGGATGAGTTTTAGATTCTTTCAAAGTCTTTGAAGACAAAAGCTAATGCAAAATAGAATCTGTTCCAATTAATATCTGGTCACTTTCTTATGCAAATAATCAGAAGGAGCCGTAGGGATTATTAGCCTCGTCGGAATAGAGTCATTTTACAAAACAATAGAACAATAAAATATATAAACAAGCAATTGTAAAGCAAAGACAAAGCTACTTAATTAACTAATCTTAATGTTAGTCGCGATTATTGCAAAAGGTTTATGGCATTTAGGCAATAGCTTTCATGTGATAATAATTTTTATTTGTGCTTAGAAAAGTTTATAGGCGAGATTTTAATTAATCGATGAAAGTTCATAGAATTACACAGAATTCTTATTCCGAAACACTTTTTATTTCTTTTGGTGGCACTCGAGGCATTTTATTACTTTAACTAAAAGAAAAAATCTAAAAGAAAAGCCTTTAAAGATTAAAACTAGCTCATGAAGCTTTTGCTTTACTGTGATCATTGATTTTATAGCAGGAATCTATTCTGGTACAATTTTGTTTTTCCACGTAGTCATCATTGCTTGAAATTTAAAAAAATTTATTTTTTTTATATATAATAATTTGATTGCACCATTGAACAATTTAGAAGGGGTAGTAAAAAAGTGTCCCAAGTCCCAAAAACCAATTGGCCTGTTTCCATCTGTAGTCCACATCTCCAGCCTCCGCAGGGCTTATATCTATGTGCTCAAAGGTTATTTTAGTCAAGATAGTTTTGACTAGGCTAGTAAAGTGGAGCGCACGCGCCACCGAAAAGCGTGATGGAATCATAGAATAATTGTAGATGAAGTTGCCCTATAAATGGCGGGAGCCTTGCCTGGGTCGAAATTTCACACGCCCAATCATCTCTCCCTCCCATCTCTCTTTCTCTTGGCGTCAAAATCTCACTGTTTATCACACTCAAAAATTTCTCCAAAAACCCTCTAATCCTTAAAACCCAACTTCCCCATTTATTCCCATCCTCTCTCTCTTTATCATTTGCACATCGTTTCTTCTAAATTTCATCAATTCTAGGGTTTAGTTGATTTATGTATTAAAAAACCCTAGGTTTTTTTTCTTTCTTCTTCTTTTTTTTTTGTGGGTCTGCTTTTTGCAGAGAGAGGAAGTGGGAGAGTTGGAGCAGAGAGGGACATTCTGATTCAATGGAGGCCGCGGCCAGTGTCGCTGCCACACGAAGCGGTTCGCTGCCGATGCCATCACCGTCTCGGAAGGAGTGGCGTGCTGTTTCCGACCATCACGCGGTTCGGAACCCCGGGGATGAAGTGGTAATTTAATCTAATCATGAAATCGTTCTCTTTCGGTTTTTATTTGCGTTCTGATAAAATGTTGACTGAGAACGAATTCCTGTTTCGAATATGAAATTCCTCATTGTTTGGGTCTTAGAAGAAAAGTAAAAAACAATTACCTGGATTAATTTAAGTGTTTGATGTTCTTCGGTGTTCTCCGCGAACAAAAAATTAGGGTTTATCTGTACTTTTTCTTGTTCTTTGACTTTTTTAATTTGTCTACCTCTATATACTTCAAGTTTTCAATGTTTAATAGTACTTATTTTAAGTTTCTGAATAACATAATTTGGATTGGTTTGTTTGGATCGATTATATATGTGCCAACTGTGTGCTCTATAATTGAAGCATTTTTATGCATTAATTAGGACATTTGGTTCACTTTTTTGGCAAGTTTGTCGTCCTTTGGTTGTTAAAATAATTGGGATTGTGCATTGGTTTATGCTTACTGTTTTAAGTGTTAATGTAATCCCATGAGCTCAGTGTGTTGAACCCTAGTAAGTTTATTGGGTTTACTGCAGCGTAGAAATGTCCATCTGTGAAAGCCGAGTTGAGCATTAAGTGATGTTGATTAAGCTGTGAAAGATATTTATTACTGTTATTGGAGCATTGGTGTTCATTGTTTGTTTTATTCAGCTTTCTTGTGACATGCAGGAATTGGAAAGATCAAAGCTGGGACAGTCAGATGAGAGAACCATATACGAGGTAAAGTTTTTGATCTCAAAATTATAATCTATTTTGAGAATGATGAAAAGTGAACATGTTTGAATGCTTATCAAGGTGCAGCGTGGAAGAGAGCCTGCCGATGTTGACTTCTGTTCAATCACGGTGGATGGAAGTTTAGATGATGACATATTGCAGCAGCGGATTCATAATGTTGCTAGACAGAGAGAGGAGCTCCAGCAGA